GCCAGTGGCTCCCAGGTTTGTTGTCTTGTGGCCTTGAAGAATGACATCAGAGGACAGTAGAAGAGCAGTCACAACTCTACTGCAGTGGAGAAGCAGCTTCTGGAACTAGGAAGGGATATAAAAAGGTGTTGCAAGCCTGACCTTAGCTGGGTCCTTTTTAAACCTGCACTTAAGCCTGATGCTTGAGCTTGTAAAACTAAACCTTCACATCCCCACCCCCAGAGACAGGGTTTCTCTGTGTGTAGCTCTGGCTGTCCTGGAACTCACTCTATAGACCAGGCTGGCCTTGAACTCACAGAGCTCCAACTGCTTCTGCCTAGGATTAAAGGCGTGGTTATTCTTAAACAAAAGCTATGCCCTCAAAGCCCACCCAATTCTCACAAATAGTAAGGGTAGGGGCTCCTGTAACCTTACAGCTTTTGAGTTAAACTCAGCTTTTTCTATAACTCTGGGGCCCAGTCTGTGTTCACTGTCTATACAGAGTTCCTGGGGCCCTCTGCTAGTTCTCAGATGTGTCCTTCTAAGGTGGGCTTGTGACTGTATTGAACACGGAGAAGCTGGCTCTGCTTGCAGCCTCAATCTCCCACCTGGCTGCCTAAAAACGGAGACTGCAGGGCTTGCAGAGACAGCTCAGCTGTCAAGAGCTCTTACTGCTCTCCCAGAGGTCCAGAGTGGTCCCCAGTGCTCCTGCCACATGGTTCATAATTGCCTGTGATTCCAGATAGCCCATAAACATCTGTAACTCCAGTTCCAGAGGTTGTCCTCTTCTGGCCTCCTTAGGCATTGCACACATTATATACACACATACACAATAAGGATAAAGAAATCTTTAGGGCTGGAGAGATGGCTCAGTGGTTAAGAGCACTGGCTGCTCTTCCAGAGGGCCTGAGTTTAATTTCCAGCAACCACATGTTGGCTCACAACCATCTGTAATGAGATCTGGTGCCCACTTCTGGCATGTGGGCATACATGGAGGCAGAATGTTGTATACATAATAAATAAATAAATCTTTTTTAAAAAAAGGAATCTTTAAGAAAAATAAATATATCTAAAAAACCAAATTAGCCAGTTGGTGGTAATGCACACCTTTAATCCCAGCACTCGGGAGGCTGAGGCAGGCAGATCTCTGTAAATTTGAGGCCAGCCTGGTCTACAAGAGCTAGTTCCAGGACAGGCTCCAAAGCTACAGAAAAAACCCTGTCTTGAAAAAACAAAACAATAAACAAAATCCCATCATTTCCCAGCTCTGCTTTAGGTCTCTCGCTGGCTAAGTTAAGAATTTCAACACAGCTGATCAAACTGTTTACAAAGGACTCTCACAGGCAAGATTACAAACCAAGTTTCTAGTGCTGGGATTAACGGTGTGTGCCACAACCACCATAAAGGTTTGGTTTTTCTGTTTTAGTTGTTTCATTTAAAACATTTTTTTTCATTTTACATATCAATCCCAGTACCTCCTCCCTTCCCTTCTCCCCCCTTCCCACCGCCACTTCACCCCATCTCACCCTCCACCCACTCCTTAGAGGGGATAAGGTCTCCCTTGGGGAGTCAACGAAGTCTGGCACACCAAATTGGGGTAGGGACCCTCCCTACCCCCATATCAAGGCTGAGCAAGGTATTCCACCATAGGGAATGGGCTCCAAAAACCCAGTTCATGCACCAGGGAGAAGACCTGGTCCCATTAAGTTTGGTTTTTTATTTGTCTATTTTGTATGTGTGTGTGCATATGTGAATGCGGATGTCAGAGGCCAATGTTAAGTGTCTTTCTTAATTGCTCTGTACCTTTTTAAAATTTATTTTGTGATTATGTGTTTGTCTGTATGCCATGTGTGCATTGCATATGCTCCAACATGATCAGAGTTTACTGACGTGCTAAGTGAGCTAAACAGACAAACAGGGCATGACTCGGCCTCTTCGTGGATCCGGGGTCAAACTCGGACAGTTAAGGTTATCAGAGGCTGAGGGAAATGAGGGTGAAGGGGAATATTGTTTACTGGGAGCAGGTTGTTTGGATTGCATATAAAATTCCAGCACGGATGGGCTGGGGTAATGAGTATAAACCGATGTAAAAGTACTTAATGATGTTGGAAATTGAGAAGCTGAGGTAGGAGGATTCCAAGTTACAGAGCAGCCTCTCCCTCCCCAAAAAGCAAAAGCTGACATAATGGGAAACCAAATAAACACAAACGATGTGGCAGAAGACAAGGCGATGTACAGGGGCACCTCACTGCCACACGGCCATGGATTATTCCCATGCCAATGAGATTTTAAAAAATCTATTTACCTTTACATGTACATGTGTTTTTGCCTACATATTAGTACACTGTGTGCATGTGTGTTGCCTGTGGAGGGCAGAAGAGGGAACCCGATCCCCCGGAGTGGGAGTTAGGGAAGTCTGTAAACTGTCATGTTCTGGGACCTGAAACCTAGGTTCTCTGCAAGAGCAGCAAGTAATCTTAATTTCTGGGCCATCTCTCCAGCCCCAGTACTTATAAATTTTATGTATATGTGTGCCTGGCTGCATGAGACCACAGAGGTTAGAAGAGGACTTTGAATCCCTTGGGACTGAAGTTATAGGTGGTTATGAGGTGCCACGTGGGTGTACTGGAAGCCAAATCTGAGTCCTCTATAAACACAGTAAAACTTAACCACTGAGGCGTCTTCCCAGCCAGCATCCTCATCTTTTTTTCCCGTTACGACATAATCCCTCTGTATCCCAAGCTGGCTCGTCTCAGCATCCTTAGTGCTGAGATTACAAATGTGTGCTACAATACCTGGCTTTTGATACTTGAGGGGAGGGGGCAGTGCTCTGGGGCTGGAGCTCAGTTGGCAGAAAGCTTGCATAGAACACTGAAGCCCTACGTCTGATCTTCGGCATTGCATAAAACTGGGACTGATGGAACATGCGTATAATCCCTCCGGTTCAGGAAGAAGATCCGAAATTCAAGGTCATTCTTGGCTATTTCATGAGTTCAAGATTCAGAAACTAAGAAAACGCAAAAAGAAAAACCAAACAACACTCCCCCCCGCGAATCTGAGCATCAACCAGATGTTTGGTGCTCATCTGGCCTGTGTCATACCTTGTCATACTAAACATGTTCTCATCATGGAGAATTTGAAAACTTGGAAGTACAGAGAGGAAAGAAAGCAAGCTACCACCACAAAGTGTTGTTCCACCTTGCCACCTAGAAATAACCACTCCTTACATTTTGATCCAGAGTTCCCATTTTTACTGTGTGCATTCTTAAGCAATATCATAAAAACAGACTTTACAATAAGTAGTTTTATAATTTGGCTAATTATATTAGCCAAAATAACAGTATCAACATTTCCTTCCCTCTGCCACAGTGGGCACAACTGTGTAACTTGGAGGAAGCCTTCAGAAATTAGCGTTTGCTGACCTGGTGCTCACTGCATAGCCCAGGCTGGCCATGAACTCTTGGGAGTCCTCCTGCCTCTGCCTCCTGAGTGTGCACCATGCTTGACTGAATGTTTTAACTTTTTAAGTCGCATGTCTGTACCCACCTAAGCATCAAGATGATTGCCCCCAACCTGTCTGTCTTAGTTGTTTCCTTACCTCGTTGGTCCCTCTGCAGAAGCTAGTTACCTCTACAATTTCCCTGTAAGATTTTTCATATTCAAGTACTTCTGAGTGCTGGGATTAAAGCCGTGTGCCACAATGCCCGGCCCATTACTTTTCTTTTTTGATTTTTCAACATAGGGTTTTTCTGCATACTCCTAGCTATCCTGAAACTCTGTAGACCAGGCTGGCCTTGCACTTGGAGATCGCCTGCCTTTGCCTCCCGAGTGCTGGATCTAAAGACATGTGCCACCACACTTACTTATATCTTAAAACGCATTTTCCAATTTCTTAACCCATTTTTTACCGACTGTGAATTCACTTAGTTGCACATCAGGATTTACTAATCTTTTGTTATGTTTTCCTTGTCTTTCGAGACAGGGTTTCTCTGTGTAGCTTTGGAGCCTGTCCTGGCACTAGCTCTGTAGACCAGGCTGGCCTCGAACTCAGAGATCCACCTACCTCTGTCTCCAGAGTGCTGGGATGAAAGGCGTGTGCCACCACTGCCTGGCAGCATTTAATAATCTTAAGAATTGCTTAAAAGTATTAACAAGAAAATTAAGAGTTACTTTTATTAAGAAACACAAGATATGGGGGCTGGAGAGATGGCTTAGCAGTTAAGAGCACTGACTGCTCTTCCAGAAGACCCAGGTTCAAGTCCCAACACTCATATGGCAGTTCACAGATGTCTGTAACTTCAGTTTCAGGGGACCCAACACCCTCACCCAGATATACATGCAGGCAAAACACCAATCCACATAAAATAAAAAAATACATGTTTTTTTTCTTTTCTTTCTTTTTTTTTTTTTTTTTGATTTTTGAGACAGGGTTTCTCCGTAGCTTTTGGTTTCTGTCTTGGAACTAGCTCTTGTAGACCAGGCTGGCCTCGAACTCACAGAGATCCACCTGCCTCTGCCTCCTGAGTGCTGGGATTAAAGGCGTGCGCCACCACCGCCCGGCAAAAATACATATGTTTAAATAAAGGAGGATGTAGTCATGTGGTACACAGAGTTTTTAAGTAGATAGCTTTTAGGGTGGGGATGAAGCTCAGTGTTAGAGTGCTGTGCTTGGCTCCACAGGCTATGACTCTGACCACCAGTTCAGCCAGAAAGAGGTGAAGCTGTGTCAAGGTAAGGCCCAGATAGTGTTTAGCAGGGAGTGTCAGGGATGAGCATTATTTTCAAACGAATGACAAATGATCGTCTTTGTTAGGACACTGGCATTGAAGGCATAGGACATCTACACTTTTCTTTTTAAGATTTATTTATTTATGCAGTATCCTGCCTGTAGGCCAGAAGAGGGCACCAGATCTCATTATAGGTGGTTGTGAGCCACCACATGGCTGCTGGGAATTGAACTCAGGACCTCTGGAAGAACAATCAGTGCTCTTAACCGCTGAGCCATCTCTCCAGCCCGACACCTACACTTTCATTTCCCGAAGAAGACAAATGCCAGCTAGCATGAAAGTGGTTGGCACAGAGGGTGCTCGTCCTGGAGTCCTGGATGCTGGGGGATCCTGGTCCATCACATGACCATCTGAAAGGTAGAAATACTAGGTCATTAAAGGAAATCCCTCCAGCTTCCCTGCTGCCTCCACTGCCTGAAGACAGATCTGCCTACAAGAGCCAGAACTCCACTGGGGCCTAACCGGACGAGGACAGAGTGCCCACAGGATAAGCAGTACTAACTATATGACTCTCGACTCCCCCAGGAGCAAAAGTCTCCACAAACCCACTGTTAGCGCTTCCCCGGATACTTTCTAGTCTAATGTTGGTGCAGAACTTTGTAAGGCTCTGGTAATGGAACAACCATCTTGGGCCCCAAATTCCAGGAAGAAAATAGGGTTCCCATTCATCCAATCACTCTACCCTCATTTGCTAATAATATCTATGCACCACACCCCAAATACAGCGGCACAGACACAGACTCTATGCTGGGAGGCAGACAAAGGGACACTTTTATTTACTTTACGAAGTTGCACACATTCAATTATAAGAAACCGAATGTGAGTTACTCAGAAAACCCCAGCCACGTGATGGGAGTTTGCCGCCAACTTAGACTATACAGTTGAGTTCCATGACAGCCTGGGCTACATTATAGGCCGAAACCAAAAATCAAAACAAAACAAAACAACAATAACAACAAAACTCTAAACAACAAAGCCAAACCCAGCAGTGTACAGGAAGGATTCATTGTTAATGTGGGTTCTCACTGAATGACCGCCCTGGAGTCTCTTAGGTTCTTCTGCCCAAAGGCAGACACCAGCAGGCACTGCTTCATGTTTAAGAGGCAAGTTTTTTTTCTCTTCACTGTGTCTAGCAGAAGCCTGCTGGATATGGGTGTCCAGTAGACTCGAAGGAACCCCACAGGCAGTGTGACACCATGGGTTGAGGGAGTATCCCGCACCAAGGACCCTACACCTAAGAGCTCTCCTAAAGATCCACCGTTATCACCCACAGCTCTGTAACTGAGGGAGCACTCCCCCTCAACGCATCTGAGGGAATGCCCAACAACACCCAGATGACCTGTGCCTGAGGGAGCACTCTCAAGGATCCCACATCGAAGAGAACACTGCCTGAGGACCTCATATGCCTAAGGTAGCATCCACCAATGACCCTGTGTCAGTCACTACGACACCACGTCTAAAGAAACATTTCCCAGGGACATCACACCTAAGGGAGCACTCCCTGAGGACCTAGTATCCAAGGGGCACCCAGCAAGGATTCCTAGGCTCTACGCCCCCTGGAATCCTTATGCTATTTATAAACAGAAGCCTTGCTGGTAGGTCCTGTTAGACCAGGAGGCAGAAAGGGAGTCCCTTGGGCATCTACAGGACTGGGCAGGACTAGAGAGTTGCTTACCACAGCCAGGTAAAAAGGTCTGAGGAAAACAGTGGAGCTGGCCGAGCCAGCACCTGCACAGGGAGCACTTCCTGGGCAGCCAGGTGCCATGGAGGACAGACCCACAGTGCCTGATAAAGAAGAGACAACACTGTCAGTAAATTCCTCTCACCCCCTTCCCCCTACCGCTCAGCCCTGCCCACCCAGCAGCTTACTCTTTTCGGACATCACGCTCACAGTTGCGTCCATAGAAGAAAGGTGGGCAGGCGCAGAAGGACCCCAGGATGCAGGTCCCTCCATTCAGGCAGCAGGTTTTATTAAGCAACTTAGCTGAAAGGTGGAAGAAGTCATGGGGCAGGTGGAGGACTGATAAACCGTAAGCAAAGGTTCATCCGGCACGCTGGCCTTCATCTCCCCAGAGTATTCTGAAGAGCCCATAGCCTAAGACTCCATCTTTTAGGGGAATCATTTTCATGTTCAGACCAGTCAGGAGAAAATTGCACTTCAGGGATGTGACCCAGCACCCTGTCTCACTTCCGTCTATGCCCCCATGCTGGTACAATACACCCAGTCGATAACTCACACACCCGCTCTCTCAGGGTAAGTGTGAAAACATTACTGCAGAGATGTGTCAAGGGCAGGACAGAGATGAATCAAGGCAAGCAAGTCTTACTGCTCTGTATCCCCATGGAAGGCACCATCTGCAAAGAGCGAGCACGGACTGCAGGTCCTTCCTGGCTGCGAAGGCTGTCATCTCTGATGGCCACCTCTCTCGGAGACAGAACAGCCGGCTCACGGTGGCCCAAGCCTGTATTATGCATTTCAGGCCACACAAAATGTTGTTGGTGTTCATAAGAGGCACCCCCATCAAAAGGTACGGCGGCACATGCCTCTGAGCTCAGCCCTCAGGAGGTAGAGGAAGGATCCTGGGTTAGAGGTCAGCCAGAGGCCCTGTCCCAAACACTAAAGACTGAGGTTGTAGCTCAGTGGCTGTGTACTTAGCCTACAGAAGGCTTAGATCTCAGCACAGGGGAGGGGATGGAGTGGAGGGTGATCTGGGAGCATATTCAGTAGGTGCAAAGCCCAGGGCTCTATCCCAGCACCATGTGAGCAACAACAAAAAAGTTGGGGCTCAAAAGGGAAAAGTAATTCAGCCAGATTCAGTAATGAACTTGGGAGGTAGAGGTAGGAGAATGAGGAGTTCAAGGTCAGCCTTGGCTGTATTGTGAGTTCCTAGGCAACCTGGGCTGCGGTGCTTTTACCCAAAAGCAAAACACAAAAACAAATGTGGATAAAAACTCACTGGGTGTGGTGGTAGCACTGACATTGATGGAGGCAGGAATCCCAGGATACAGTGACACCCATAACCTGAACCCCAGCTGTGCAGCGGTGGGAGGCGGAGGCAGGTGGATCTCTCTCCGTTCAAAGTCCATCTGGTCTATAGAGCCAAGTTCCAGGACAGCCAGGGCAACACAGGAGAACACCTGTCTTGAAGCTCCCCAACCCCCATAAAACCCCTGAACCCCAAACCAAAGGAGAAAACTCTCACCAGCAACGTGTCCAAATTCAAATGCATTGGAAATGGCCACAAGTAAAACCAGACTAGGAAAAGGAAATTGGACATCAGTTAGCAAAAAGCATGTAAAATTGGAGTCTTCTCGGCAGAAGACCACGGGTTTCTAAGGAGACCCAAGAGCGCCCCCTTTCTCCGTCCAGTGGTTCCTACAGTAAGGAACTGGAACAGAAATTCCCTCTTAAAAAAAATCTATTCTGCATAAGTTGCATAGTTTTCCACGGTACAGTTTACATATGTGAATTTTAAAATGGTTGTACAGGTTGCGACTGGGGTAGAGAACTTGCCTAGAACGTTCAGATCCTGGTTCGATTCCCAGCATCACTGGGAAAACAACAACAACAAAAAAAACCTGTCCTGTCATTTAAAATGTTTCCAAGTTTGTTTGTTGCTCTTGATAGCTTTTTAAAGTACCGAATTCGTCTATACCATTAACTTTTAGAAGCAATCTTAATTTGGCTGCAGTGCTAATATTGTTTATGCAAGAGAAGGGATGTGCATTATTTCCCTGGCAGCATCACCAACATGATTGGCATGACCAGGAAGCTGAGAAAGGTAGTCGCCACTAAACTTCCCAACCTGAGCTGGATGCCCGGGACCCACACAAGGAACTGACTCCAGCAAGTCATCCTCTCACCTCCACTCACACGCACCACTGCCTGTGCACGCGGGCACACGCGCGTGCACACACACAGATAATGAATATTTAAAAAACTGAGTACTTTAAAAAGTCAACAGCAAAGTAGTATGCAGCCAAGTACAAAGTTCCAGGATCTTCAGGAAAAGCACCAATGCTACTAGCAGTATTTTAAGGTTTACGTTGCATAAAATCAGAGAAGGGTAGAACATGATTTTCTGAAGTTGCAGTCTCCAGCCATCAAAAATTCAAAGTTAGTTCATACCTGGACGAGAAGTGCGCCATCTTCCGCGGCTCGTGAAAACGTTGGAGAAAAACGCTCGGAAAACAGGATTAGCAAATGGCTTTAAATCGTAAAACCATTCCCCAAACACACAAAGGTTAAGTTCTCTAAGTGAAAAACAATAAATTAAATAGAAAGATATTCCAGATGAGAACTGCGCCTGGCCCGGAGGGTCTTGGGGCAGTGGCGGCCAAAGTCTCCAAGCAGACTGGGGGGGGGGGGGGGGGGCGGCTCTCCCTCCAATAGAACCGTTTTAACCTTGAGAAAGGACTTCCAGGGGCCTTTCTTCCTCCACTAGAAACCCAAGGGGTGGCGGGGAGGACCCTCAGGTGGGCGGAGAGCCGGAAGCCCCACGCCCATTGCTAGGCCCTGGCTTTGCAAGGCCAGGCGGTGAACTTGACTAGCTAACTAGCAGTGTCTGGTTAGGTGCAGGTTTCTTTTCTCTCTCTCTCCTTTTCAAAAAGACTTATTTATTATATATACCATGTCCTGCCTGCATGCATCCCTTCAGGCCAGAAGTTGGCACCAGATCTTATTACAGGTGGTTGTGAAGCACCATGTGGTTGCTGGGAATTGAACTCAGGACCTCTTAACCGCTGAGCCATCTCTCCGCTTCCAGGTTACTTTTCTCTTGAAAAGGGGGTCGAAGAGAGAGTCAAGTTATTCTACCAAGGCGGTTCAAACACGAAAGTCATTAACTAGAAGCGTCTAAATAACATGTGTACATATGCAGGCATTTGATACTCCGTTATCAAATTTTAACTCTGAATTTGCTTTCATCTTTTTGCTAAAAAAAAAAAAAAAACCACGTGGAGGTGGGTGCCGGTTGCTGGGGAAGCTAGGGTGGCTAGGGGAGATGCGCTGCCCACCTGGGAGGACTGGTTTGGGTGCGGAGCAGGTCAAGGTCCGGAAGGATTTGAGTCTGGGAGTGAGCTGGAGTCTTTGCCAGCAGCGCCTGAATTGCAAGCGCTCCCCGGGAGTTCGGGGGTTAGCGCGAGGACGAACAGGGACCAGCGGGGACCTAAAGCTTTACAGCCGGGCCTTCACAAGCTGTTTTGCGGGTCGCTTGGTTCTTCCGTGTCCATACACACCCAACACGCTAAGTGGATGAGTTTCTCTCTCTCTCTCTCTCTCTCTCTCTCTCTCTCTCTCTCTCTCTCTCTCTCTCGATGTGGGGATGGATGGGGAGGGCCTCGATTCGTATCTGGGGTTGTGTCTCTATTGCTAGAAGCCGGTCAGATCTGGCAGAGAAACGTACAACCTCGCCCGATACTCCCTTCGCTGAAGCGGCTGCAGCGGAGCTTAGACGATGGTGGGCATCCCCCTACTTCCCTGTTTCAGAGAAAGGGAACTGAGGCTGCTATTCTGTTGAGATGTTTCAGAGCCCAGGGAGGCCAGGCAGCCTTCCTGCCTCTTATCCATCCAGTGGACTGGGGCAGAGGAGGCACGCGTGTGCGCCCAGGGTGGATAGCCACAAGGAAAGGGCTTCAAGGACCTGAAGTCAGACGCTTATCGTTAGTCTTGGGATACAAGGTCCACCATTCTATCCTAATATTTTAGATTTATTTTCATACTCGACATGAGCAGTCTGGTATCAGAAACTGGGACAAGTAGACTATCATCCATCCATCTCTATGTCTGTCTGTCTGTCTGTCTGTCTTGTCTATCACAAAAGCAGGACTTGATGCCTGTTTCTGCTTTCGGAGTGCTGGAGTGCCGCCACCACCACAGCCCGGCATAAAAATAAATCTTAAAAAAAAAAGAAAAACGGAATACAAAGGCAACAGCTCTCCTCCACTTTTGCCAGGGACTCCACGGTGATTTATTTCCCTGCCCTCCCTACATTCACACCCGCCAGACGGCCACGACAGTGGGCGGGCCTGAGGATTCGGCCTGCGCCTAGTCTCTCTATTTCCCCACCTCCACCCCCAGCCACACTTAACCTCAGTTCCTGAAACACGGTCGGCGGGATCTGTTATTTCCCTGCAGGCTCCGGCTCCTTCATTAACAAGCTAATGGCTGTTTTCACTGAGAACTTGACAGAGATTCCTGCATACAGACTGGAAGAGTAAAAGTGTGAAGCCGAATGGCCAAGGGATTAGGAAGGGGACGCCATTTGTTTCTGTGTGGTTTAGGTTCCGTTTCTACACATACCAGGAATTATTTTATTACCGATCCCGGCAGCACATGCTTCTCTAGTGTCTTCCCTTGCAACATACAACTTGGAAACACTTGAAGGTGTATTCTGGTAAATACTGAGCCCTGAAATTGTTTGCTTAATTCATGCATGCTTCCAAAATGTTTTCCCAGAATCCCACCCCTGACGCTCTTACCGTAAAACTATGTAAAGAGCTCCTCCCCCAGGACTTGTGCCAGCTGCGTTAACACCTGAAGATTTTGCTGATTCCTGATATGAAAAGCAGTATTTTGTTGTTTGGATTTGTATATTCCACTGTGTTACTGGGTGTTTGTATTTTCTTTTCTATGGCCTGGCTGATGGTTCTTACAATGCCCTTGAACTAGCTTCTTTGGGCTCGGCGGGAATGTCGTTTGCTCTGGGAAGGGCCTCCTGGCATCTTTTCTCCCTATCCTGACTTCCCACTGGGGCCCTGAGCTGAATGGCGGGAGTGTGGTAGCCATTGCCCTTCCCCAGAGTTTATTTGCTAACTCCGGATTGTAAACTGCTTGTTTTTTCTTGTCTTTCACCCTTTTTCCCTCTGGCTCCCATCTAGGAGGTCTAACTGCCCAGTCTTCAGAACTCCCAGCTTCTCCAACCCTGAGAGCAGCGTCTCCCTGAGCCAATTAGGAAATCTTCATCCATGGGACACCCTGTGGCCTACAGAAGTGTTAAGTCTCGGCCCTATTTTCTAAAATAGGAGTTAGAGCAAGACTTAAAAAGCAAGCCAAGAAGACAATATTTTCCCCCAAACCCGGGCCTGGGAAAACGACTAAGAACATTACTTACAGTCATTACTGATATGCTGGGTGCCTTATTCTAAAATGTTTGCCATGCATAAGACGATTTGGTGCAGTTCCTAAGAGCTGTGTCAGAGGAGGGGTAGTTTGATTTACACTTTAGGTGTGTGTAGGGGGGCACTGTGATTTTTATAATTCTATTTATCTGTTTAGTTGTCTATTCACTCTATGTGCATCTCTGTATGTATGCACATGCCTGGCATGTGTGTGGACGTCAGAGGACACTTTGCAGGACTTGGTTCTCTCCTTTTAAAATGTAGGCCCCCCAGATAGAACTCAGGTCCATAGGCTTGTTACCTTAGCAAGCTCCTTGGCCCACTGAGTCACCTGACTTGCTCCAACGTTCTCCAACTCTTTTGCACAAATCCTTCTTCTGCCAATCAAATCGATTAGCTATTTACTGAGCAGCCATTCTGGGTTGTGCATTGCCCAGTGGAGCAGTCTATGGCTTCCTTTCCCCATTCGAGATAAAACAAGCCATTTTAGCTGCATTCCCAGACTCCTGGGGGAGGGAAGAGGCGGTTCTAACTTGACTGTTCCCAGACATTGTCAAGCTAATTGGCCTCAGCAGACAAGTGGGCAGACAGACCCCTGGGAGACAGACAATCGGGAAGGCAAGCTGGGCTGCAATTGATTTTCACAAGATCTAGAGGACGACATCAATTAACAGTGGGTCTACAGTGGATTTGTGTGTGGCTGCTTCCAGGTATACTTCCTAGCTCTCAGGGATTTTGAAATGTATGAAATGCCAACGAAAGGCAGGAAGCTGGGTACGGACCCACTCTGACATCAGAAACAGACCGAGAAGTCTGTCCTGAGCATTGAGCAACGTTTTCTGTGCAAATGACCCAGGCACACTGACACGTCTTCTCCTGCTAAAAGTCAGTTGAGCCAGGCTTCTGATTTATGAAAATGAAGTGAGGATTGTTTTAAGTCATTGAGTTTGTAAGAGTTTATTACTTAGCAATATAGAACTAATATAACACCATCATTTTTAAAAATTATTATTATTGCAGTACTGGGGATTGAACCCAGGACTCTTCACATGCTAGGTAAGGCTTCTGTCACTGAGGTATACTTCTAGCCTTTGCTAACATTTTAGATTACATTTTTTTAGTTAACATATTTTTATTTTATGCATATGGGTGTTGTGCCTGTATATCTGCACCATATGCATGCATGGTACCCAAGGAGGCCAGAAGAAGGCACTGGGTCCCCTGAAACTGGAGTTACAGATGGTTGCGAGCTACCATGTAGGTGCTGGGAATAGAACCCAAGTCCTCTGCAAATGCAACAAGTGCTCCTAACTGTTGAGCCAACTCTCCAGCCTTTCACCTTGTTTTTTGATATGGGCCCTCCCACTGAACCTGGAGCACACAGATTTGCATAGACTAGAGGACCAAAAAGCTTCAGGGATCTCTGCCTCTGCCCCTCCTTCCGCCCTGGAACCGAGTGTCCAGAAACTCTGCCACTCCTGACTTTAATGTCATTTTTGAGGATCAAACTCAAATCTTCTCGCTTTCATGGCAACCCTTTACTCTGAGCTCTCTTTCTTGCCCCCTAAACTTTAAGAAAAAATAAAAATACTTGAAATACATATTCTATTCATTTACGAATAGGGTGGGTTCAGTGGTGCACGTCTTAATTCCAATACTCACGAAGAAGGAGGCAGGCATATCTCTGTGAGTTTGAGGCCAGCCTGGTCTACAAAGTTAGTTCCAGGACAGACAAAGATGTTACACAGAGCGAAACCCTGTCCTGAAAAAAAACACACACACACATTTCTCTACTCAGTTACACATCTTCATAGACACCCCCCCACCCCCAGAAGAGTGTTTCCTAAATTCAGTCAAGTTGACTGTGAAGATTAATCATTCAGTGCCCAATAGGGCTGTGCAGGTCTGTGGCTGATGACCTATGAGGGCCACCATCAGCCCAGTGTTCTCCCTGCATCTTTAGTCTGCAGACATAAAGCAGCAAGCCAGGGGCCCTTGGCATTCGCGATCACGCCAGTGGGAACCACTTAATAATGGTCACTGAAATGGCTGTCAGTGTTGACAACATTCTTCATTCTTCCGTATATACATCATAAAGGGCGGGGAATAAGGTGAGTGGCAGCAGGGGTTTTCCTGGAAGAAAGCTTTGCGAGGCCTGTGACTCACGGTCCAGTAAGGGCTGCAGTCTCAGATGACCTGGGCTAAGGGTTTAGTTACCTGGGTGTGCCTGTGGTATAACCCCATTGGGAAAGAGGGAAGTGTGCTCACAGAGAGGCATCTGTGGATGATGTCCCAGCAGAGTCTGTGAGCCTGTGAACCCAGCTGGGGCTGGCTGACTAAAAGCAGTGGTTCTCAACTTTTTTTAACACCATGACCCTTTAAAACAGTTCCTCATGCTCTGGTGACCCCCCACATACCATAAAATTTAATTCGTTGCTACTTCGTAGTTGTAATTTTGCTACTGTTATGAATTGTGGTGTAAATATCTGTGTTTTCTAACGTTTTAGGTGACCCTGTGAAAGGGTTGTCTGACCCACAGGTTGAGAACCACTGCCTTAAAAGGTGCTGTTCTCCTGGATTCCAGCTAGGGCTGTTCGTGAGGAAGCTGTGTATCCGTATATATGCTGGACTGTTTGTGGTCTCCAGAGCATTTGGGAAATGAGTATTATTACAAGGCACTCTGGGAGTTCTGAAGCTGCAAGGTGTGTGACAGGGTCTTATAAAGCCCAGACTGGGCTCAAACTTCCAAAATAGCTAGGAGGACCCTGAACCTCTGACTCTTTCACCTCTACCTCCTGAGAGGAGGGATTTCAGGTGTACACTGCCACACTCAACTTGGAAGGTCTTTTTGGGTGTGCCCAGCCCAGAGACGCAGCCTGTACACCTTGTACATTGAGTTTAGTGCATCACCAATTCCTTACGCAAGTGTAGCCACATTCTGGGCTTCTGATTTGTTTGTTTTGGCTTTTCAAGACAGAGTTTCTCAGTGTAGCCTTGGCTGTCCTGGAACTCACTCTATTGACCGGGCTGGCCTTGAACTCACAGCGGGACTTCTGACTCTGCCTCGGAGTGCTGGGATTAAAGGTGAGCACCACCGTCGTGGGCCACATTCTGTGTTTTCAAGTACCTCCTGGTAACCTCAAATCAGGTGAAAACAGGGATCCTAGGACCCCACCCAGGAGTTAAGACCTCCTGGGGCAGAGGTGTGGTCAGTTGTAGCAGTGAGGAGCTGTCCTGCCTTTCAGTGCACCAGACTGTGCTAATTCCTGCTTCTCACCATGTGGTCTCTGGCCAGCGACGTTGGCGTTGGCATCAGGTAGAGCTTATTAAAGATATGGCTCCCTGGCTCAGTAGCTGAGCAAGATGCTGGCAGCTCAGGTGTAAAGGTTGGCAGATAAAACAGGACACTCAGACGTAAATTTCAGATCAATGACAAATAATTATTTTTAGTATAAGTGTATTCTCAAATAGCATTATTATTGTAATGTCAGGGCTTGAATCCAGAGCCTCATGTATGCCAGGCAAGAACTGAGATTAAAGGGCATGAGGCTCCACCCTCAGTTGCAGGGTTTTTTGAATTTTGAGACTGTATCTCAAGTAGACCAGGTTGGCCTTGAACTCCATCTGTAGTGGAGGATGACCCTGCTGATCTTCCTGCACCCACCTCCAGAAAGCTGGGATTTCACCTTGCCTATTATCTGAGGGGTGTTAGTTGGACTGGGTTGACCTTTAACCAAGTGGAGACGAGGGCAACCTTGACCTCCTGACTCTCTGCTTCCCCAGTGCAGGGTTGTGGGTCTGCTCCAGGACTCCAGATTCAAACCAAGGTGTGTGAGTAGTTATTATGGGTTGGATTCCTGGGAGAACACTAGAGTTCCTTTACTTATTGGGTGTCATTCCAGGGTCTGCCATCAGTAAGAGTATTTTCTCAGTAGCAAATGTTTAAGCATACAATGAACAAGCAAGCAAACAGACAAAACAAACAAACAAAAAACCAACAAAACCCCCAAAACAAACAACAACAAAAACAAACAAAAAACCACACGTACACAACAAATAAAAATGAAGACTTTTAGAGTATTGTTTCAAACATTGCAAAAAACGTTTACATAACCCTGATTCCTTCCTATGGGCTTTCTAATCACGTCTCTTGTGTGTCTCGTAGTATATAGAGTACTGAGACCACAGAATTCTTTCCCCTCGGCCCTGTTTAACTGTGTTCACCCAAGGTTTTCCTATTTGGAAAGTGCTGGCCCTCTGTGGAGGCGTCTGGGTTCATTCAGTAAGCCTGCTCTGCCCGGGTGCCAAGCCCTCCCCGACCAGATCTGTTTTGTCTCTTGCTAGGCTGAGTCACATAGAATAGATAGATAGTTTATCAGCACATGTCCTTCAGATCATATTATCCGCTTACAAATATAGCCTGTTAGCGCACAGGCACGGCAGTCCTTCTGCTGGGGGAGTTGCTCTGTCGGTGTAAACAGCATCGAAAGCGGATTACAGAGTGGTAGCCGTAGCCGGGGACTGTCAGCAGCCACCCACCCACCCACACACAGGAAAGGTGAGTGGCGGTGGTCTCGGTCCCAGAGAGGGAGGGGTGCGAGCTAGCAGGTGTGAGCGCCTGTTCTGCGACTGCGCAGAAGCCGAATGGGGCGTCACGGCTGCTTGCGAGGGGGACCCGCCACCACGCCTGCGTTGTGGCTTTGGCTGTTTACGACTTCACCTGGTGCCGGAGAGCTCTAGCCAGTCACCATCCAAGCACACAGAGAGGACCAGGCTTTGACCAGTGCTCAGTTCAAGAACCACAATTGAGCGGGGCGACAGAAAGCACGTGGGGTGCACGGGTGCCCTCAGGTGGGTGGCTGTCTGGACAAGGTCCTCAGGAATCCTGGTACTTTCGATAGGACCATCCAGGTGCCCAACATTGAGTTCCAAAGTACTGTCCGGGAGTGATAAATCATCTTTGTTTGTGCCCTCTTCTGGTCCTCGGAAAATAAGCATCTAAAAAGGAGGGAGGGTTGGGGGAGTGGTCTTTCCTTTCACAATGCTTCGCGCGCCCCCTGGCGTGGGTGGGGCAGGGGTTGGGGCAAGAGCGGCCAAGAGTTTGGAGACTTAAAAGAGAATTGTCCAGCTCTGTAAATAGCCCAAGTGTGGCGCCTCTTGGCTTCTTCACCAGGGCCTGGGGCGTTCTCCAGTCACCGGTCCCATAGAACCGGCTAACCCAGTGGGGAAAAGCCCCTTAATGCCCACGGACCTCTCTTGTGTCAGTTTGGGTGCTGTTTTCAAACAGGATCTCATGCAGCCCAGGGTTCCCTGCATGGCAAGAACTCTAACTGAGCCATACCTCTTGTTTACATCTTACAATTAATTGATGACCAATGATCTGTCCCAATTTCTTTTCTTTAGTTAATTGGCATCCCCTCCCTACGCCTTACTGGGTGACAGGTCCCATCCTAAGCTGCCCTTGATCCAAGGATCACCGAGTGCTCTCTCACCAAGCCTGGGAGCTGAGAGCTGCGGTTGTATTTTATCCACATGAAAACCCAGCAGCTCTGTCCTCAGGGCTATGTGGCCAGCAAGCCAGGAGGCAGGGTTCCAGCCTGGGCCGTCTGACTCAGTCCCTGTCCTCTTAATCCTTCCTGTGCCCTCTGTCTCCCCTGGCTTGATCTTCCAGTTTAACAAATTACCCTAACAATCATCAACTGTCCCAAGGGAAACTGATCGGGCAGCACAAACTGTAATTCAGTTTAGAATTCCACTGAGAAGCAGTGGTGGCTGTTCTGACCTTACTTTAATTTTAACCTCCCACTCCCAAACAAACACTGTTCTAGAAAATCCACTCTGCCTTCCAGCTATGGAGTATAGCCCCACCCCCGCACCTTGGGGTCCTGAGCAGTTCCTATTGGCTGCAGCCATTCTCTTGGAGCGAGCTGGGCTGATGACAGAGCATCTTCCCATACAGCAGCCGCCTAGAAGGAGCCCGTGGAAGGCTGGGAGCTTGGCTCCTCAGGTGTAAGGGCAGGAAGAGCAGGGGCCTCCGGGCAGAACCTGAGCCCTAGCTCCGGAAAAAGCCAGGGTCAGCTGCTGTCCTTGATGGGCTAGTTAGACAGCAGTTCAGAGCAGAAAATGGAATGTATTCAGTGTGGCCATACTGGAAACCAGAAAGAGGCTCCGAGAGACTCCCCTCCCAGCTCCATCTTCACAGTCCTGGCGTGAGGTTGGTGTGTACGCAGACGGTAAGAGGTGCTGCACAGCTAAACCGTCCTGCGCATGTGATCCTGCCCGTCATCTAGGCTCTCATCTCTGCTGCAATGTGATCTGACCAGATGTCAGAACCGTGTGAAATTTTCTGAGATACAAGTTCCTCCTCTTCGAGATACAAAAGAAGGCTGGACCAGATTTCAGCCTTTTCTTTCTCTCAGCACGAGATTATTGGAGGAAGTTCCAATTGTAGGGATAGCGTCAACTGTCTCAGGGGTATGGTAGCCAAAGGGAAGAGCCCCAGTATCTCTTTAGCATATCTTCATTCAGCCAGAAGGTCACCGGGAACCAGGTCCATCTCTCCATAGCATTCACGTGTTCCCTGGCCCCTGCTTTCCCTCTCCTGCTTCGCCCTCGCCTCTCTCTCTCTACCCACAAAGGGGGTATCAAGTTTTGTGTCCTCAGTAGGGAGCCTGTGTTGGGTCTCCTCCAAGCTCCCTCCAGATATTTCGCATGATGCTCTGAGCTGTTAACTTGGTACCCACTCCACACCTCCAGCCCCCTAAGCTCTAGACAGCCCAGTTCATCAGTTGACAAGGAAGAAGCTAGATGACCTGAATGTTCCCCTCCTCTCCCCTGGCGTATGACTGCTGAGTGGCGACCAGAGCTCTGGTGCCAGGGGACACATTTTTCCAGTCATGCCCTCTGGCTCCTGGGAGCCAGTGCTTCTGACAAGAGATTCTGACATAACTTGGGGGTGGGGCATGGAAAGTTTGTCAACTAAATCTGCATTGATGGTTGTGTCCCCTGCCACTTCCAACACCGCTCTCACCCCAGCTTGCCAGTTCGCCTCTCTGTGGGGCTTCCCTCTTCTCGTGGCTCCATGGCAGTTGGTTCAGCCCCTCACATCTGATTCTCTGACTCAAATGCTGAGCCAAAATATATCCCAGCTTGCAGATGTTTTGATATTCTCCCTGATAGGCTGGGGACAGATGTGGGAAGTGTAGAAGGTTTTTTCTGGCTTCCGTGGGCACTACAGGCACATGATGCATAGATGTAGATACAGGCAAAACACTCATACCACATAATAATAAAGTTTAAAAATCTGGCCTGCTGGTATAGCCCTGTGTCGTTCCTCACCCACCCTGCATCTCCACCCTGGTAAGCTCCTCCCAGCTTCTCACTCTGTAGATGCAGTCAGCTTTACTTGGGCATTTTGGTTGACTTTAAAAGAATTTTTATTTTAATTTAAGATGTTGTTTATTATTATTTTTGTATTTCTCTCTCTCTCTCTCTCTCTCTCTGTGTGTGTGTGTGTGTGTGTGTGTGTACAGGTTACACATGTGCCATGCCATGAGTTTGAAGTCAGAGGACAAGTTTTGGGGAGTTGCTGTTGAATCATGGACCCGAACATAATAAGGGTTTTATGTTGATCTTGCTTTTAATGTTTTTTTTTGCCCCCAGAAGTAAGTTTCTGTTTCTTGAAATGTAGATCCTTCCTCCTTTGTCTTTGTAACATCTCCCTGCACCTGTCACACAATAAAAAACAGAGATGACTAAGGTACCCAGTCTTACCACAGCCAATCAATAATTCAATTATTTCTATAGAGGAATTATATTTCTATAGAGGATCTGAGTTTGGTTTCCAGTGTTCATATCAGGTGACTCACAACCAGCTGTAACTTTGGCTCCAGGGCAATCCAAAGCCTCCTTGAGTACCTGCACATACCCACGCCCCCCCCCCTTTTTTTTTGTTTGTTTCAGACAGGGTTACTCTTGTGTAGCCCTGGCTGTCCTGGAATTCACCCTGTAGACCAGGCTGGCCTCGAACACAGAGAGCCGCCTGCCTCTGCCTCCCAAGTGCTGGGATTAAAGGTGTGTGCCACCAGGCCTGGCTTGTGTGCGTGTGTTCCACAAACCCGGTCTATGTGCATATGAAACTGACATATGTATTTTTTTTATAGATAACTTTATGCTGCTCCCCAAATGGGACACAAAGTGGTCGTGTTTGACATTTCTGTCATCAGATCCTTGTGGGAAACTCGTGTCAAGAAACACAAAGCATGGCAGAAGAAGGAAGCCGAAAGGCTGGAGAAGAGCGCCCTGGAGAAGTACATTTTGGTGCCTGTTATTCCAGCTGGGTGGGAGTGGGGATTCATGCAGGCTGCTGGCTGGGGGGAGGGGAGCTCTTCATGGGACTTCTCACTGTCATGGCCACATTCCTCCATAGACTCCATAGCCAGGTGCTGCTGCGTTCACTCCTTTAACAGTGACACGCGAAGTCATGAGGAATTACGTAATGTCCAGACGCTATACTAGACACAAAAACCCCTGTGTGCTCACCGTGTGGAGGCCGCTTGCTGCCCTTCACTGAACTCACTAGACCACCCCACGCTCCCACTAAGCTACTTTCTTCATGCGGTTCAGCTTTCACCTGCTGAGCTGAATTCTAGGTGAGATCCATTTTTTCATCTACTTGAGCTGAAATGATGCCGTCCGCCTCCCAGAAACTTATGAAATGTGAGTTAAAGAGTTCTGGACAGAAAACTAAGTTTTAGGTCTGGAGAGATGGCTCCGCAGTTAACAACACTTGCTGCTCTTGCAGAGAACCAGGGTTCGACTCACAACCACCTATAGTTCCAGCTCGAGGGTGTGTAATGATGTCCTGAGGCTCCTGCGAGCACTGCATACACCTGGTGCACACACACACACACACACACACACACACACACACACACCACTAAGTTGCAAAGCTGGAGAGATGACTCAGCAATTAGAAGTGCTTGCTATTCTCCTAGAGGACCCAAGTTCAGATCCCAGCACCCAAGTGGGCTTCCTCATAACCTTCTGTAACCTAGCTATAGGGAATCCAAAGCCTTCATCCCTGGATATTCATTTACGGACATGGCATACATACACACAAATAAATAAATGCTAACACACACACAAAGCCACAAAACATATTAAGTTGAGGTAGTGCTTCAAAAAACCCTCGATGGTAAATGCGAGCATGCAATCGTATCAACACTGTCCAGTGTAACAGAAGGAGGATAAACTCACACACATCTGTAATTTTATTCTCTGTGAAGAAACTTAAGCTAGAATTCTGATGGAGGAAGGTCATTGGCTAATAAAGGAACTGCCTTGGCCCATTTCATTGGTTAGAGGATAGGTGGGAGGAGTAAACAGAACAGGACCCTGGGAGGAAGAGGAAGTGAGCTCAGAGTCTCGACCGCTCTGCTCTCAGGAGCAGACTCCTGAGAGAGACACCATGCCCCGCTCCCGGGATGAAGCTCTGACCCAGGATGGACTAGGCTAGAATCTCCCCGGTAAGCGCACCTTGGGGTGCTACACACAGATGATTAGAAATGGGCTAAATTAATATGTGAGAATTAGCCTAGAAGAGAATGGGCCAAGCAGTGATTAAATGAATACAGTTTGTGTGTTGTTATTTCGGCCATAAGCTAGCCGAGCAGGCGGCTGGGGTTTCAGGGATGCAGCCCCGCCACCCCTATTTCTTCAGAATTCTTTTTTTTTTAATATTTATTTATTTAATTTATTATGTATACAATATTCTGTCTGTGTGTATGCCTGCAGGCCAGAAGAGGGCACCAGACCTCATTACAGATGGTTGGGAGCCACCATGTGGTTGCTGGGAATTGAACTCGTGACCTTTGGAAGAGCAGGCAATGCTCTTAACCACTGAGCCATCTCTCCAGCCCTTAAGCTAGAATTCTTGAGTGATACATTGCGGTTAAAGGAAACGGGGTTCTGATTGGCTAACTCAACCCTACATCCAACCAGCAAATGATGAAGCATTTGTATTGGCTTTGTTTGTTTTGTTTTTGTTCTTCAAGACAGGGTTTCTCTGTATAGCCTTGGCTGTCCTGAACTCATAGACCAGGCTGGCCTTGAACTCATAGAAAGCCAACTGCTTCTGCCTCTTGAGTGCTGGGGATTAAAGGCTTTCACCACCACTGCCTTGCTATTTGTGAAATTTAAGTTAGCAACCAAAGGTGTAAAGTGTGAATCATTCAATCAATTTATCTGTAATCTATTTTTAAAAAATGATTTATTATTTTATTTTGGTTTTTCGAGACAGGGTTTCTCTATGTAGCTTTGGAGCCTGTCCTGAAACTAGCTCTGTAGACCAAGCTGGCCTCAAACTCACAGAGATCCACCTGCCTCTGCCTCCCCGGTGCTGAGATTAAAAGCATGTGCCACTACGGCCCGGCTTATTTTTGCATATTATGTACTTTGTATTTTGCCTTCATGTGTATCTGTGTGAGGGGGTCAGATCTTGGAGTTACAGAGAAGTGTGAGCTGCCATCCAGGTGCTGGGAATTGAACCCAGGTCCTCTGGAAGAGCAGGCAGTACTGCTGAGCCATCTCTCCAGCACCCTACAATCTATTTTCTTTCTTTTTTTTGTTTTGTTTTGTTTTGTTTTTTGAGACAGGGTTTCCCTGTGGCTTTGGAGCCTGTCCTGGAACTAGCTCTGTAGACCAGGCTGACCTCGAACTCACAGAGATCCGCCTGCCTCTGCCTCCCGAGTGCTGGGATTAAAGGCGTGCGCCACCATCGCCCGGCTACAATCTATTTTCTTAAAAAGCTATTTAGTGCATGCGCTCCTGTGCAGTCCTGCCACTGCTCACGCGTGGAGGTCAGAAGACGACTCACAAGAGTCAATTGTCTCGCACACGGGGGTTCCGGAGGGTCAGACTCGTGCCGTTAGCCTTGGCAGCGAGTGTCTTCACTGCTGAGCCGTCTTAGCAGTTCCACTTGTTTTCAAATCAAAACAGGGTCTGAATAACCCAGGGTGGTCTTGAACTTCTTGTGCAACAAGAATGAGCTTGAATTTCTCTTTTTGTTTTATTTTGTTTTCCTTTCTAGGCAGGATTTCTCTGTGTAACAGCTCTGGCTGTCCTGAAACTTGCTCTGTAGCCCAGGTTGGCCTCAAACTCAGAGAGATCTGCCTGCCTCTGTCTCCTGAGTGCTGGGATTAAAGGCGTGCGCCACCACTGCCTGCATGAGCTGGAACTTCTAATTGTCCTACCGACACCTCCCCTTGCTAGTATTATGTGCTGTATTTGTATCAGTTTGTAAATTGTGATATAGGAAAGATACAGGTCTTAAGTGCTGTCTTCGCACTATGTTGCCTGGATCTGCCTTCTGATTTGATTTCAGAAGCAAGAAAAGCTGAGGCAGGGGGATGTCTCAGTAAGAAGAGGCCTTTATTGCTATCTCTGTGGATCTGAGTTTGATCCCTGGGACCTGCATGATGGAGGAGAGAAATGATGTCCTCTGGTCCTCTGTGTTTCAGAGGCTGGCCTTGAACCCTGGTCCTGCTTCCATCTCTCAAGGGCTGGGACTATTGGCCTGTGCCAGCACATGGAGCCTTTCCCCAGAACACTTCTTCCTGTGACTGAAACCTTTGTTTCAGCTGTGTTAATTATTTAAAGTGTTCCTGATCCCTCAGTTTAATGCCATGCGCAAACACAATATCTAATGTGGCTTCTTGCCAGCAGAAAGTTGTACCGGAAGGCGATGTTTACAGAGCCTGGCAGCACAGCAAAGGTGTCTGAGTTCAAGGCCAGGCAGGGCTACAGGAGACTCTGCCTTAACAAACAAGGAGAAGACACTTGCAGATAGACCTGGGGAGCCAGTTACAGAAGTGTGGGGTGCAGAGTCAAAAGCTGACGACAGTGTAATATAGTCTTAAACCGAATGTTTAGGTAATTTTGGTAGGAGGTTTAGCCAAGGATTCCATCTAACTCGGCTCATCTTTTTAGTTGTGGTCATTAGTGATTCACTGAAGGGTCTCAGTTTTCCCAGCATCCCTGGTGGCAGGAAAGAAAGGTCAGGATAGGCCCTAGGTAGCCAAGAGTGGGAAACCAGGTTCCAGGGAAGTGGAGGAGCGAACCTGGTTATTTACCCTAGGAAATAACTGGTCTTCTGCTCCCATCTTAGGATAAAGGAGGAATGGAACTTCGTGGCCGAGTGCAGAAGGAAGGGCGTGCCCCAGGCCCAGTACTGCAAGAACGGCTTCATAGACACCAACACAAGGCTCCTGGAAAAGATAGAGAGGAACTCAGTTGCTAGGCAGAGTGCGTGGGTCAAGGACAGAGACAAACGGAGCGATCCGTTTGTGTTTGAACTTTCAGGGACACAGTGGACGGTGAGTCAAGTGTCTGTCTGTCTGTCTGTCTACAGAAAGCGGACACTCAGGGTTGTTTTATGGCTAAGGTTGAGCCTTAGCTTTGGCCAGATGACTGCCCTGGTCTATAGAGGGATTTCCGGTGGGCATGAAGGAACTCTGCCTCTATTCTGAGCTGGGTCCAGATGACTGCCCTGGTCTGTAGAGGGATTTCCGGTGGGCATGAAGGAACTCTGCCTCTACTCTGAGCCGGGTCCAGATGACTGCCCTGGTCTGTAGAGGGATTTCCGGTGGGCATGAAGGAACTCTGCCTCTATTCTGAGCTGGGTCCAGATGACTGCCCTGGTCTGTAGAGGGATTTCCGGTGGGCATGAAGGAACTCTGCCTCTATTCTGAGCTGGGTCCAGATGACTGCTGTGTAGAGGGATTTCCGGTGGGCATGAAGGAACTCTGCCTCTATTCTGAGCTGGGTCCAGATGACTGCCCTGTAGAGGGATTTCCGGTGGGCATGAAGGAACTCTGCCTCTATTCTGAGCCGGGTCCTCCTGTCCTTTTGTTGTTGTTTGAGACGGGGTTCAACACAGCCCGCCCAGACTGACCTTGAACTATTACTGAGGCTGGCTTCAGTCTGACCTTCTGGATCTGCCTGGTCTCCCGAGTGCAGGGATTTCAGGGTGCCCTGCACATCCAGTCTCAGAGGTCAGCTTTTAGAAAGCCATTTGACCTGAAGCATTATTAGCTTATTTTGTTTGTATGCATTAAAAAAAAATGTACTTTTTTTTTTAAGTGCTGGGGATTGAGTTCTTGGCTTCATGTGTTAGGGTCTGAGAAAAGCCCCCCAAAAGACCAATGACAACATGTATGCAATAAGAAGAGAGCTTTATTGATTCCAACATTAGGGTGGCAAAAGGGGGACCCCTAAAGAAGCTTACAAGCCCCTTTTAAGTGGAGTTAGGGGAATTCCACAGAGGAGGGATTAATCTGGGCTTGATTGGTGGATGAAAGATTAGTCTGGGAGCTGATTGGTGAGAGCTGACTGGTGGGAGGCCTTAGTGGCTAGGTACTTTCTGGTAGCAGGGTAGGGGAAGCTATCTTTAGCTTGCAGAAGTCTGGGGGTGTCTGCTGAGGTAGCAGAGGGGCTTTGGGGACCTGCTGAGCCAGCAGAAGGACCTGTGGTGGGGTTTGCTGGTGGTCATCCGTAAGTTGTGGTTTTCCTGAGACCAGCTTACTCACTCAGCTCAGCCCAGTCTGGTGAACTGAAACTGAGGTCTCTGTCAGGGCTCTGGTTTGCTGCCCCCCACGCCACCCTTTTCACATGAGTATGAAGAGAGCCCTGGGCTGTGCGGATTTAGCTAAGTGAATATTCTGTGAGCTACAGTTTTCTCAGAATGAGAAGATTCCAGGCAGCCTCCTAGCTAGTTTTCTTTTGCATTTACGTCATTGTTTCGATTGGTAGGTGCAGAGATGGTGTCTGCTTACGGAGCTCAGGTCAGCAGGCTTGATTGCAAGCACTTGTACCCAGTGAGCCATCTTGCTGGATCAGAATGTGTGTATGAGTGTGTGTGTGTGTGTGTGTGTGTGTGTGTGTGCGCGCGCGTGCGTACATGTGGAGGTCAGAGGACAACTTTGGGGGAGTTCTCTCTTCCCCCAGGGCTCTAGGGATTGGACTCTAGTTGTCAGGCTTGGTGGCAAGTACCTTTACTTGATAAGCCATTCTACTGGCCTTCTACATTATTGTTGCTATTATTATTATTATTATTGTTTTGTTTTGTTTTGAGACAGCGTCTCACTATGTAACCTTGTCCAGCCTGGAACTTGTTATGTAGGCCAGGCTGGCCTCACACTCAGAGATCTGCCTGCTTCTGCCCCCTGAGTATTGGGATTATAGGTGTCACCGCCACTCCCAGCGCACTTTAATTTTTGAGACATAGTTTCTTACTGAATTAGAAAGTCGCCTCTTAAACAAAACAAACCTGTTTTGAAAATTTACTTTTTATTTTATGTGTATGAGTGTTCTGCTTGCATGTATGTCTATGTACCATATGTGTGTCTACTGTCCATAGAGACCAGAAAAAGATGTCAGATCCTCTGGAACGAGACCCACTGTGTGGGTGCTGGGAACTGAACCTAGGTCTTCTGCGAAGGCAGTTAGTGCTTATTATAACAGCCAAACCATCTGCCCATCTCTACAAAGTCATCTTTTACTGCAGTGGCAGCCAAGCAAGCCTGCAGGAACTGCCTGATCCCACTGGAATTACAGGCATGTGTGGGGATTTGAACTCACTCTTACTTTCAGATCAAGTGCTATTGCCCACTGAGACATCACCCTGACCCTTATCTAGTCTTCTGGTGAAAGCATTGGTATATCATTCTCATGTGCTGTCAACACGGCCCTGGCCACATATCTACATCATGGCGGTCTCTGGAATGTGTGTGTGGGTACAGTGTGTGTGTGTGTGTGTGTGCACGCGTGTGACAAAGGTCAACCTTGGGGCTGGAGAGATGGCTCAGAGGTTAAGAGCACTGGCTGCTCTTCCAGAGGTCCTGAGTTCAATTCCCAGCAACCACATGGTGGCTCACAACCATCTGTACTGAGATCTGGAGCCCTGTTCTGGCGTGCGGGCATACATCGAGGCAGAATGTTGTATACATAATAAATAAATAAATCTTTAAAAAAAAAAAAAAGGTCAACCTTGGGTGTCTTCCTCAGTTGCTCTCCGCTTTGTTTTTTAATCGCATTTCTAACTTTTATTTAGAACTTGTCCTGGGCCAGGTTGGCAAAGCAGCGAGGCCCCTGGGATCCACCACCATCATCTCTAGATTTCCAAGACAGGGACTGAAGATGTGAGCCATCGCTCCTGACATTAAAGAGGGTTCTGGGGAGCAAACTCAGGTCCCCAAGCTTATGAGGCAAGCCTTTTCCCAACGGAGCCATCTTCCCAGCCTCTGGCTTTCTTTCAAACAGACCTTGGTGATAATGCCCACTCTACCCATCTTACGGTCTCTTATGAAGAATACCTGAGTGCAGGGCATTCTTGGGTTGGAAGCTTGTCCACACACAGCAGCAGTGGCCATGAGGCCAGTTACAAGCATAGAGTGACTGTTATGCCCCAACCCGCGAAGTCCCCCAAAAGCCAACAAGGAGACCAAGTCCCGTATGTAAAAGCAAAGAGCCTTTATTTTATGCAAGTTTGCAAACTCGGTCTTTCCTTATGTCCAATGTATTGGAATAAATGGAGAGCCCCAAGCTCAGTTACAATTGGGTTTTTATAGTAGTAAAGGCAGGAGTGAGGGGTTTCTGAGGTTCAAGACCCCTGATTGTCTGACATTTGTCTAAGGGTGTCCTGGTGAGTGTGTGCTGGCAGGTGATCCTATCTACAAGGGTTGGAACATTAGGCATTTCCTTTGGATGGTCTGTTCCTGGGTGGTGCTCGGGTAATCTCTGTGGTTCTTGCTGCAATCAGGTATTGCTTCAGGGAAAACTACTGAGACTCAAGCCTCTATTAAACTTATGGATGGCTGAGTCCTACTCTGGCAGGTGATAATGGTTGGAAGTAAAGAACTTCCTTTGGGTGGTCTATTTCTATTTAGCTTATCATGGCTGGCTCCTACAGCTGCCACTCTCCCTACAGCGCGACACCACACATTGCGGATGGGAACATTATCTTCACCTTCATGGTGTCAGGGACCCTTGTCTCTCCCTTTAGTGCCAGGTACCTCAGTATAGCACGGGCGTGGTGGTTTGGATTTCTGCAGTGGGACAAATTGTTGCTCAGAAGTCCTAAGCATCTTTCCACACCATCAGTTCTTATCCCAGCGCCGCTGAACTAGGGAGGCTGTGGTTGTCATTGTCATTATTCCTGCAGAAGCCTAAGCCAGGGAGACAGCACAGCTGAAAGAAGGGGGAGGCTGGGTTGGGATGAGCACACAGCTTGTCCCTGAGGCTCCACCCTCTATTATAGACTCATAATCATAAAAACACTGGAGGGTTTGCTATGGAAAACACTAGTTATTTATCAAATATTTCTAAAAGCAACTACAGAGTAAGAGAAATAGAACATAAATGTCTAAAACAATCAGGTGTGCCCAGCTTGCACCCCGCAGGCCAAATGCACCCCGGGATAGCTATAAATGCAGACCAACAATACATAATCATGAGCTTATTTAAGATAGGAGAAATTGTTTTCAGGTTTTTAAACTCCATCTATGCAGTTCTCAAGCATGAACTTTGTAGATGTCAACATCTGTCATGATGTCAATGAATGGAATATATAGGGCAGATCTTATGTTAGAAGACGCGTGCTGTTGATAAGTATTATGAAACTGGTCATCTGTGTTCACTAGGATTTACATATATATAAACGTATATATATGTTAACTATACGTATTATATATGAGATGTGTGTGTGTGCACCTGTGCTTGTATGAGCTCAGAGGCCAGAGAGTATGTTGTGTGTTCTGCTCAATCATTCTTCCCCTTATTCTGATAACCATATACATTACATAGCTAGTTTACTTAGTCATATTTGGAGACAGGCTCTCAATAAGTTGTTCTGGCTGACCTTGAACTTGTGGTACTTCTGCCTCACCCTCCCAAACAGTTGGACTTCCAGCAGACCTGCACCACTAGGCCTGCCTAGAATTTGGTTTTATTATCCCCCCCCCCACCTCTTTTTTTTTTTTATTTTTGAAACAGGGTCTCTCTGTAGCTTTGGAGCCTGTGCCTCCTAAGTGCTGGGATTAAAGGTGTGTGCCACCACCGCCCTTGATTTTATTATCACAAATCGGAAATGAGGTTGATCAACTACTGTGAGTCACCACTGGCTTCTGCAGAAATGGCACCAATGTCTCACATGTCTTTTCTGCTTTGGCTAAATCCTTGGTCTGGTGAGGCTTTGTGAACACGAGGAACTGAGACTGCTGACCAACACCGCTCCTTCTGTTTCAGGAGCTCCCGGATTCGCTGAAGGAGCAGACGCACCTCAAAGAATGGCATATCCACAGCACCCTGATTCAGATCATTCCCACTTACATCGAGCTGTTTCAAGCCATGAGAATTCTGGACTTGCCAAAAAACCAAATCACGTGTCTTCCAGTTGAAATTGGTAGGTTACTTGGCAGAAATTTCTGGTCCTTGTCGGTGGTGAGCAGCCGGCTGTAGGGCAGGTGGCACAGTACCAACATCCCATTTCTTCCTCCTGCTCTCCTGGATGTCCCTCAGCTGTTTCCCTGTTCCCAGAGCCACTGGCTCAGTGTCCCCTTTGGGACATGAAATACCGTGATCTGCCTGCCTGACTTGGCATTGATAGAAATTTCACAGTAGCTTAGAAACCTGAAGTCATGGGAATGGGCAACACTGTAAGAATTTTCTGAGCCAGGCAGTGGTGGCATATAGCTTTAATGCCAGCACTTGGGAGGCAGAGGCAGGCAGATCTCTGCTAGTTCGAGGCTAGCTTGGTCTACAAAGCAGTTTCTAGGACCACCAGGACTACACAGAGAAACTCTGTCTCAGAAAACCAAAAGACAAAACCAAAAACAAGCAGAAAAAACAAACAAACAAACAAACAAACAAACAATTCCCTGTGAGATTTCCATGTGCAGCCAGCATTGATGGGTTCCGACCAAGGGGTGAAGGGAGGAGAGCAGCAATCTTGGGAGGCCACTGTGTGAGCTGGGGCAATCACTCAGACAACCCGCCTTCCTATTTCCTACCTGTAGCACAGCGATCATTGTGCGCTCGATTCACGTGGTTGTCTTGAGGCTGGTAGAATTATTTACTGTCTCGTTCACGAAGTGGCAGGAGAGGTGAAGGTTGAGCAACTATCCTGCAAAAGCAAACGGTCATTTTTGGTTTATTAATTTAAATTATGATAAAGTGTTCGGTTTCTTAGGATGCCTGTGATGTGATTTTTTGAGTATTATTATATATTTGTTATTGTACTAGTTTTTAGTTTGGAGCTGGTTGAATCAGAACTAAGGGACTGGAGAGATGACTCAGCAGCTAAGGGTGCTTACTGCTCTAGTAGGGGACTCAGATTTGATTCTCAGCACCCACATGGCAGTTCACAACTGCCTGCCACTCCAGTACCAGGGAGGATCTGATGTCTTCTGACCACAGAGGTCTCCTGCACACGTGTGGTAAATATACATTCACATAAAATAAATATTAAGATAGAATCAGAACTAAAATACAGTGTTTTCAATCATTCTGATAATTCCTGTTCCTCTGGATGTGTTCACATCCCACTGGAGAAAGTTGCTTATAACTATCTGTTGGGCAGCATGACATGGAGTTGAAAGAATGCAGACATAAGAGAGGATGGTGTCTGAGATGCAGTCTGCATGCAGCCGTCCCCTTTAGTCATTGACCGTGCATCTAGAACTCTGTGCATCTGTCTGTATCTAGCTCATGCCCTGTGAAGCCCACCAGCAAGCAGTGCAGTTTCTGCTCGCCTAGGAGCTGCTCTGATCTTCACAGTCAGGGCCCGTGAGTCAACTCATCATGGGGTTTGCACACTGGATATCTATGTTGTTGTTTCTTTTCACTCTTTGGGGGGCCCGCCTCCCAGCTCCCAAATAAACACACACAGAGACTTGATATTACTTATAAATGCCCGACCTTAGCTTGGCTTGTTTCTAGTCGGCTTTTCTTAACTTAAATTATCCCATCTACCTTATGTCTCTGAGGTTTTTTTTTCTTTTTCTATGTTTCTTTCTTTTTTTTTAAAGATTTATTTATTTTTAAATATTTACTTATTTATTATGTATACAATGTTCTGTCTGTGTGTATGTCTGCAGCCCAGAAGAGGGCACCAGACCCCATTACAGATGGTTGTGAGCCACCATGTGGTTGATGGGACTTGAACTCAGGACCTTTGAAAGAGCAGGCAATGCTCTTAACCGCTGAGCCATCTCTCCAGCCCTTTTTCTGTGTTTCTTTTTTATTTCTTACACCGTGGCTGGCTGTGTAGCTGGGAGGCTTCCCCTGATGTCCTCTTCTCTTATTCTTCCTTGATATTTTCCTCTTTCTATTTATTCTCTGCTTCCCAGCCCTACCTATCCTTTCTCCTACCTTGCTGTTCAGCTCTTTGTTAGACCGGCCAGGTGTTTTAGACAGGCCAAGTAACACAGCTTCACGGAGTGAAGCAGCATAGAAGAGTGTAACACATCTTTGCATCGTTAAACAAGTGTTCCACAGCATAAACAAATGTAACACATCTTACAATAATATTCCAGAGCATGCCTGGATACAGAGGACAGATCCCCTGCACAGACCCTGCAGTGTCTGAGTCAGAAATGTTCCCACAGCCTCTTGTATGTGAACACTTGGCCTCCTGTTGGTGGCACTATTTGGGAGCTGTGGAACCTTTAGGAGGTGGAGCCTGGCTGGGGGAAGTGTTTCAGTGGGGATGGGCTTTGAGGGTTTTACAGCCTTGTTCTACTTTCTCTGCCTCCTGCAGTGGACGGATGTGCGGTCAGTCAGCTTCCTGCTTCTGCTTCCGTGCCATGCCTTTTATGCCTTTGTGGATGCTCTCTTTGGAACCGTAAACCAAGATCATTTTTTTCTCTTTCAATTTTTAAACATTCTATTTATGTATATTGGTGTTTTGCCTGTGTGTGTAACTATGCACCATGCGCATGCAGTGCCCAAAGAAGCCCAAAGAGGGTGTCAGAGCCCACAGTTTGTGATTAGCTGTCCTGTGCATGCTGGGAGTTGAATCTGGGTCCTCTGGAAGAGCTCTTAATCACTGAGCAGTCTCTGCAGCCCCAAACTGTCTTCTTTAAACTGTTTCTGGTCATGATATTTTATTGAAGCAACAGAAAAGGAACTAATGGCGGGTTAACTGCAGTGTCACAGAGATTAAACAGAGAAGCTGAACCAACCAACAAAACCCACAAACAGCCGCAGCGCCAACAGTGAGATGCTCTGACGGAAGACATTTAGCAGGGAATGCTCCATGGGCAAACACGAAGTTAGATCTTATGTCTGCATATCCTTTTTTCCTTTTCCTTTTCTCCCTTTGAATTGCTTTTTGAGACAGTACACCTTGTTTAGAACTGTGCGAACTTTACGCTTCTGTGTTTCAAGTGCTGGATTGTGGATACTCAATGCCATCTCTGGGGTCCCTGTCATTAGGGGAAAGTTTAACCCCCGAAATCCGTTTCTGTTCTGCTTGTTTGTTTGTTTTTGAGAAAGAGTCTCACTATGTACATTTGGCTGGCCTGGAACTCACTGTGTAGCCCTGGCTGGCCTGGAACTCACAGAAATCCGCCTTCTGAGCACTGAGATTAAAGGCCTGTGCGCCTGACCAGCCTGTTTCTGTTCTTAAAAGGCTTTGAAGGACCTGCTCCATGGAGGTTAACTTTTTGTGTTGCTAGGTCGCTTGAAGAACCTGAGAGAACTCAATGTGAGTTTCAATCACCTGAAGAACGTTCCCCCGGAGCTGGGAGACTGTGAGAATCTAGAGAAATTGGACTGCTCTGGGAATCTGGACCTGGAAGAGCTCCCCTTTGAAGTGAGACGCAAACACCTGTGCCCTATGACTCCCTGTCGTTTAACTTATTACATGGCATGTTCTATACTGTGAGGAACCTTTACTAACACCTCTAGTCTGCTTTTTCTTTCTTTCTTTTTTTTTTTAATTACTAGATTGTTCTCAGGCTTTACCTGAAAATATAAGAATTGCCAAAGAACTTTGAAATAGGACAAAACTAGAGAACTTACATTATGCAATTTCAAAGCTTACTATAATGTCACAGCATTACGTTAACATAAAGACAGAGATTTGGGACAGAATTAAGATTTCAGAGAGAAATCTCTATAATATGTACATATATTTAAATATATATGATTTTATTTTGAGATAAATTTGTAGTCTTGACTGTCCTGAAACTTGCTCTGTATATGGGGTTGGCCCTGAACTCACAAAGATCTGCCAGTCTCTGCCTCCTGAGTGCTGGGGTTAAAAGTGTGAAACACAATGCCCTATAACTATATTATATTTACAATCAATTGATTTTTGAACAGAATCACCAAGAAAATTCAATGGAAAAAAGACAATCAATTTAATAGAAGGTTTTGGGGAAATTAAAATCCTTACCTAACTCCACACATATTATGACATAAATAAAGAACTTGAAAAACACCCTAGATGAAGGAAAGCAGATTTAAAAGAATGTTACATGAAATTTCCAGGAAGAAAAATGTGTAGAGAAGGAAAGTAGATCCATGATTTTCTAGTGAAAAGATTGAGAGCACAGAATGACAGCCAGTAGGAAGAAGAAAATCTGAGCAGAGGTGATAGAAATACCCTGCAATTGAGTTATGGTACATTGTATATCCATGATGGGTATGGTTCGTGCCATGCAAACTCTACTTCACTGGAGTTTGGGGAATAAAAGAAAGGAGCACTTCTGGTTTCTTCATTGTCATCCCATGTGCTACCAGGGGATCTCAGACTCACCCCTTTTCTGCTCCAGCCTCTGTTTGTCATGAACCCCCTGGTGTAGAAGGGCCCAGCCAGGGACTACCTCTCCAGCATGCCTGCTCTGTCATGTGTCTCTTCATTTGTTCTCTTACAAAGCCAAGTGATACGACCCTGCTGTAGACTTCCGAGAGAGCAGACGTAAAGGGGTAAGCCCGAGAATAAACAAGACTTCTGAGACAAAGGGGAAGATATCCCCTGGCGCACAGCTGTCCCTCTTCAGATACGTGCTCTGCATATGTTCACTGTGGGTCAGATTTGGAGCAATATGACTGTCTCAGTCAGGGTTCCTACTGCTGTGGTAAACACCATGGCTACAGCAACTCGAGGAGGAAAGGGTTGATTCACCTCACACTTCCACATCCCATTCATCATCAATGGAAGCCAGGATAGGAACTAAAGCAAGGCAGGAACCTTGAGACAGGAGCTGATGCAGTACCGTGGAGGGGTGCTGCTTACTGACTTGCTCCCCATGGCTTGCACTATCTGCTCTCTTATAGAACCCTGGACCACCAGCCAGGGATGTTACCACCCACAATAGGCTGAGCACTCCACTATCAATCACTAAGAACATCGTTTACAGATGGGTCTTACGGAGGCATTTTCTCAGTTAAGGGTCCCTTCTTTCAGATAACTCTAACTTGTGCTGAGCTGACATAAAACCAGCAAGTGCAATGATACTTTGTCAGTGGACTTTTAAGGACTTTTTAGGTAAATAGAAGTATTTTCAGTGTATTTTGTGGATGTCATATTGCTTTGCCACTGATAAATGTAACTAATGGGGGATGCCGGATGTGTTCAAGCTCCATGACTGCACACAGACAGACATGGTGCTGGAGAAGGAGCTGAGAGTTCTGCACCCAGATCTGCAGGCAGCAGGAAGAGAGAATGAGTCGCTAGGCCTGGCTTGAGCTCCTGAAATCTCAAAGCCCACCCCCTAGTGACACACTTCCTCCAACAAGGCCAAACATCCCAGTCCTCTCAAATACTGCCACTCCCTATGAGCCACTGGAGGCCATTTTCATTCTAAGTGCCATATAGTCTAAAAATACATTTGCTATGTTTATTGTGAAGAGAAAGACGAATGGTGATTTAGATTTGTTTTTGTTTTGTTTTTATTTTCTTTTCCTGCCCATCTGATTGTTAGCACCCGGGGCAGAAGCCTTAGTCTGGATTACAGGCACCCAGCACATCTCTTTGATCATTCGCTGACGCGTGCTGCCTTCACAGTTTGGAATTCCAGACAAGGACATAATCAGAGTGTGTCCCTTTGGTAGACTGTATTTGACGACAGGGAGATGGGATTCATATTAAGCTAAACATGGGCATAAGCCCAGAGCTTTTTCCTTCTGCTGCTCACTACCACCCTTTGTTGGCCCAACCAGCCCTGTGTTTCGAGTAATTTGTAAAACTGTGCTTTAAATGTCTTTATTTGTTTTGTTTTAAATGTCTTTATTTATTTCGCCTACACGCACCTGCATGTAGGCGAATGAGGAAGTAAGAACACAACTCTTGGGAGCTGTTTTTTTTTTTTTTTTTTCCCTTAGTGTAGGTCCTGGGGATCGAACTCAGAACACCAGGTTTGGCTACAGATGCTCTTACCCACAGAGTCATCTTGGTGGCCTGATAATGTGCTTGGAGAGAGAGTATAATTTTACTCATGGATGCTCAAAAGAAATCAGTAAAAAACATTAGTTTCTTTTATGTTTCATAGTAGCTGTCAAACTTTCATAACCAATTCCAGATATGAAATGTTTGTTCAACTTTATTCAAAATGTATAGATTTGCACTGAAGCACAATATCTCCCCATGTATTTGACTTGACATGCTGCAAACAAGAACTGTGGATAGAAAACCACAACAAAAGAGCCAACCCTGCTTAGCTACTGGGGCCAGACAAGATGAAGAGGACTTTACCATGTCATCTAACCCATCCAAATGTGGATTTCCTCAAGGCTTGTCAAAACTTGTTAGTGCCATCCTTACCACACCCTAATTCGTAATTTGAATTTTCTAGTTGGGCATAGTGGCACACACCTCTAATCCTAGCAGAGGCAGGCTGATCTCTGTGAGTGCGAGGCCAACCTGGTCTACATAATGAGTTCCAGGACAGCCAGGGTTTTGTAATGAGACCCTGTCTCAAAAAATAAACAAAAAAATAAACAAACAATGCAAAACAAAGCAACAGCAAAGACTTGAGCTCTCTGCGTCTCTGCCTGTGCTCTTCCCTACCTGGGAGACCCAATTCCAATGTTCTCTTCTCCGTAAAATCTTTTCAGACCCCTGACTATTGCTCCCTCATACTGCCGGGTAAAATCACCCACAGTTAAACTGGGTCTTCCAAAATAACTGAATCTATATAATCCCTCCCAGATTTACCCCGAGAAGTGTTCCCATGGTGATTCTCACTCCTGTCAAGTCAACAATCAGGATTAGCTGTCACAGAGGGTCATTCCAGTATTCTCTTATTCCTTTCTAGCTGAGTAATCTGAAGCAAGTGACGTTTTTAGATATCTCAGCAAACAAGTTCTCCAGTGTCCCGATCTGTGTCCTGCGGATGTGCCGCCTGCAGTGGTTGGATATCAGCAACAATAATCTGAGTGACCTGCCGCAAGATATAGACAGGTAGCTACTTGCACCCTAAGGTGAGGTGTATGAACTCATTACTAACACTTTAAGACTGCTAACACTTTAGATATGCTAGCACATGAATAGCATTTGAAATCAACCACTTTTCCAGAGTTGGGCTCTAGGAAATGGGAGAATAAGACAGTCTCCATGCGCACCACACATCCATGCATGTATGCACTCGAACACTTCTTCATTGTCTTGATGAATTTGATTTCCTTCAGTTACTCATTTAGTTATCTGTTTATCTACTTATTTAATGTCAGATGGTCCCCCTGTAGCCCTGGCTGCCCTGGAACGTACTGTACAGACCAGGTTGACCTTGAACTCACAGAGATCTGCCTGTCTTTGTCTTCTAAGTTCTAGGATTAAAAGTATACAACGCTACACTTGGATTTTTATGAATGCTTTTTTCTGAAAGCATTTTAAGAATTGAGTGTGTGGCCAGGCGGTGGTGGCGCACGCCTTTAATCCCAGCACTCGGGAGGCAGAGGCAGGCGGATCTCTGTGAGTTCGAGACCAGCCTGGTCTACAAGAGATAGTTCCAGGACAGGCTCCAAAACCACAGAGAAACCCTGTCTCGAAAAACCAAAAAAAAAAAAAAAAAAAAAAAAAGAATTGAGTGTGTGTCCTCGACCATAGAGGCCTGGGGATAACTGGAGGGAGATGCTTCTCTCCTTCCACCAGGAGAGCGTGGGTCCAGGAGAGCAAACTCAGGATGTCCGGCTTGGTGGCAGGTCCAGGAGAGCGAACTCAGGGTGTCCGGCTTGGTGGCAGGCCAGGCACCCTTACTTGCTGAGCCATCTCACTGTATTTTCCTTCTCTCCCTAACTTTGAGACAGTCTTGCAAAGTAGCCCAGGTTAGCCTCAAACTCAGTATCTTCCTGCTGCTACCTCCCAAGCACTAGGTCAAGGCACACACGCCACCACAAACAGCTTAGAAGACATTTTTGTTTTGTTTATTTTTATTTTATTTTTGATTTTTGAGATAGGGGCTTGCTCTGTAGCCTGGAAGGGCTCGGAACCCTCAATGCTCCTGAGTGCAAAGATCACTGATGCAAGCCTCTTGACTAGGCTTCAGTTTTTTTATAGAATAACATTGCTAATTTTACTCCATAGGAATGGAAAAGAAAATTTATTATGTGTAGAGAAACATCATCCTGCTTAGAACAAGGCGGGGAAGGGAATTTTTTATTACTTTTCATTTATTAATTTAAGGTGCATAATCTTTAAACAAAATTGGCATGTTAGTTATGTTGTTAAATTATATCCAATCAGCTGTTTCCTTTATAAAACGATTATTATGGGCTGGGGAGATGGCTCGGTGGGTGAAGTGTCTGCTGCACAAGCTTGAGGACATGAGTTGGATCCCCGCAGTCCTGTAATAGCTGTGTGTGGCTGCTCCCAGCAGTGACTCTAGTGCTCAGGTGGGCAAAGACAGGGGGTCCTGGAGCTTGTGGCAATCAAGCTAGCCAGCTGGGAATCACCAGGCTCAGTGAGAGACCCTATCTCAAAAGACAAGGCAGAGGAACTGGTGAGATGGCTCAGTGGTTAAGACTGAGTACTGCTCTCAGAAGACCTGAGTTCAGTTCCCAGAACCACATCAGATGGCTCACAACTGCCTTGAACTCCAGTTCCAGGGGATCTGACTGAACGGGCGCTTACGCTCATATGTACATACTCACATACAGACACACTGTGTAATTTAAAATAAAAAACAAACACAAACAAAAAACAACAGAAAAGAGCACCAAACTGCTCTTGCATATGTCCTGAGTTCAGTTCCCGCACTGGGAAGTTCATGACTGCCCGTAACTCCAGCCCCAGAGCATCCAACACTCTGGCCTCTGTGGGCATCTGCACTCATGTACACAGACTTAAAAAAAATAAAGATAATTATTATTTTTTAAGATTTTATTTATTATGTATACAACATTCTGCCTCCATGTATGCCTGCATGCTAGAAGAGGGCGCCAGGTCTCATTATAGATGGCTGTGAGCCACCATGTGGTTGCTGGGAATTGAACTCAGGACCTCTGGAAGAGCAGCCAGTGCTCTTAACCTCTGAGCCATCTCTCCAGTCCCATAAAATTAATTCTTAGAAAGGAAGGTGGAGAGCAACAGTGGAAGACCCTTGGTGTTGACCTCTGACCTCTAGGTGCTTGTGTGCACATGTGTATGTGCACCTTCATGCATGTGTGTCCGCACACACAATGAAAATAAAATACATTTAAGATGTAACCTGCCCTTTAAAAAATAGTTATTGCACTGAAACGTGTAACGCGAGATAGATTGACTCAGTCATTTATGCCACTGATATTACTAGGCTGGAGAGTGGACTGGGCCTAATGGATGAAATACAACCTGTGGCCTCTTGGAGTCTATACTCTCTTTTTTGTTTGTTTGTTTTTTGAGACGGGCTTTCTTTGTGTAGCCTTGGCTGTCCTGGAACTAGCTCTGTAGACCGGGCTGGCCTTGAACTCACAGAGATCCTCCTGCCTCAGTTCCCACATGCTGGCTTCCACCGCCCAGTGGCATCTACACTTTTATTTACATGGAAGCATAATAAACTGACGATTCACAGTCCACGTTGTCTTAGGCCCGAGTGTGACACTTTTCTACCCTTGGTCCCTGTGATGAATGAATGCCTTCCTGGGCGAACGAGGCCAAGTGAGACTTACTTGTGTTTGAATGACAAAGGAGTTTTTGAGATATTTGTGACATTACACAAGAATTTGTAAATGAATGAAAAAACATCTGAAGGAAGGGTCTCCAGATTAGAATAAAAATAAAATAAAACAATCTTAAAATATATATATTTTTGCGTTTCCTTCTTGTTCCGTGGCTTTCCTCCTACTTTATGTTGAAAAAGAATAGTGAGGGGCCTAGAGAGATGACTCAGCGCTTAAGAGCACTGGTTGCTCTTCCAGAGGTCCCGAGTTCAATTCCCAGCAACCACACAGTGGCTCACAACCATCTATAGTGAGCTCTGATGTCCTCTTCCGGGTGGGCAGGCATATGTGCAGTCAGAACACTATACATAAAAAAAAGATAGTGAGAGAAGACTAAGTTGTATGAAAAGAAATGCCTTGCTCAAATCTGTTTGTTCTTACAGCAACCCTGGGAAATGCAGGAGACACTTAGAGGAATCTGTTGATCTCTGAGGCCCATTGTGCCGTGTTCTGTATTGTTACTAAATCCATGTTCAGTATGTGATTAAGTCAGTAAAGTCATCATAGTTCTTGCGTAATTTCAAAAGATGACAACCTTATCTAAATGTGAAGAGTAAGCTCATGGTTGCACATACGTTTTGGTGGTGATGAGCCAAGTAGGCTTTCCCTGCGGGAGCAATTTCAGTTCCCTGCAGTTGTCTGTAGTTCACCGTGGAGTCTGTCCTGAGTCCTGGCTTCTCTGCAGGCTGGAAGAGCTGCAGAGCTTCCTCTTGTATAAAAACAAGCTGACCTACCTTCCTCAGGCCATGCTCAACCTCAGAAAGCTCACCTTGCTGGTTGTCAGTGGGGATCACCTGGTGGAGCTACCGACTGCCCTCTGTGACGCTTCCACACCTTTGAAGTAAGTACGTGGAAAGGGGAGGGCTCCGGGACAGCCCCCCTTGACACAGGCAAAAATGCCAGCCGCCTCTGGCTCCAGACTGCTTTCTTAGGAGCCTGATTCGGATATCCTCATACACTGAGCATCCGCCCCTACTCCACTGTCTACAGGAACTCCAAGGGGTTTATTCGTTTTTCACAGGCCTGAGTAGGACACGTCATTGGATTTCTGGAGTTGCAGAAACTGCTTGCTAATGGGCAGCATGAGGTGTGGACACAGCATAGGCCTCTCAGCTGTCTCTCAGCTATCATGTCCCTGTTGCCTCGGAGAGGCCACTCACTGTTCAAGCAATCCTCTCTGTTTGCCTCATCTTTCTGACCTCCCACAGTGAACTCTGAAACAAAGACAACCATCCATGCAAAGATGATACGGGCTCCAATCTGGGGTGAAGTCTTGTTTACTCCCCAGAAAACTGACAAAGCTAGGGACCGTGTCCTCCAGATCCTTTGGGTGTATCTTTATTTGTCACTATGAAGAGACCGAAACCAAAGCTCTTGGATGGTGTATTGTGCGCAAGATAAAGGGGAAACAGGGTTCTGATTGGCTGACTCGTGTCTTTTAATTTCTGTTAGACAGGGTCTCTCGTGACTTGACTCAGCCACTAGTAGTCAGGACTGACCTTAAGTGTCTTCCTGCTTCTACAGTTTACGTGGTGCTCGGGCTCACGACCAGGGCTTTATGCAAGCTAAGGAGGGAGGCACTGTAAGGACCAAGCTGCATCCCCAGACCTTGATTACTGATTAAAGAAAAACAGTGATGGGCTGCGTGGGGCTCAGTGGTAGGGTGTAAAAAAAGAAAGAGTTAACAAATCGGTCAATTAAAGAAACTGCTGCTTCAGAAAAACAGATCTTCTCACTCTTTAAATGTTGATTAAAAAAACCAGAGTGATTTTATATATATGTATATATGTGTGTGTGTATATGTATATATATGTATATATATATATTCCTTTTCCTCTCTCTCTCTCTCTCTCTCTCTCTCTCTCTCTCTTTTGAGACAGGGCCTCTCTCCATAGCCCTGGTGTCCTGGAACTCACCATGTAGACCAGGCTGGCCTCAGACTCACAGAGATCTACCGGCCTCTGCTTCCTATATTCTTAATTTTCAGAAAAAGTATTTATTTTATGTGTGTAAATGTTTTGCCTACCTGCCTGAGTGCATGTATGGTACATGCATATCTGGCACCGTCATTGATCAGAAGAAGGCATTGGATGCCCTGGAACGGGAGTTACAGACAGTTGTGAGCCAGCATGTATGTGCTGAGAATTGAACCCTGGTCCTCTGGAAGAGCAGCCAGTGCATTTGACTGCTGAGCTATCTCTCCAGCCCACTGAAGATGAGTTTTGCAGTTGAATATTCTCAGTAAACGTGTTACTTTCCCCCACAGATTTGTAAGCCTTATGGACAATCCTATTGATAAGAGCCAATGTCAAGACAGCGATGAAATACTAGAAAGTGAACAGGACCGCCAGCATTTTGATAAAGAGTTTATGAAAGCATATATTGAAGATCTTAAAGAACGAGGTGAGTTGGGAATATTTAAAACCATCTAAAGTGTATTATGCAACCTCTACCTGTTCCTGAAATACGTACATCAACATCAGTCAGAATGACAAAAAAATTATTTGTGACTATTTGTGAACCAATGGTGCATTTTCTTAGAACATGAGGGTTTTTTTCCCTCTCACTTTTATTAGTTCTTTGAGAATTTCATCCAGTGCATTTTGACCATTCCACCCCTCTCTTCACTCCTGGGCCCAGCCACCTTCCCTGCCCAGTTTTGTTTGTCTCTCTCTGTTTTAAAAAGCCCATCAAGCATAGTTGGTGTTGCCTGTATACTCTGGACTGTGTGGCCTTCCACTCGAGCATGGGAGGCCCAGGAAGGGCTTCACCCTTAAAGAAAACTTGTTCACCCTTCCCAGTAGCTACCAGTTACCCCTTAGCTAGAGCTGGGCCTGCACGCCCACCTCCTGTATCCATGCTGGGGTTTTGTCTGGCTTCACCTTACACAGGTCTCCTACATGAACTGTGAGACTTTCCTTGCATACTGTGTGCTTGCTACATATGTCAACTGTATGACAGAACACAGAGGCTGAGAAACACACAATTAACATGTGAAGGTTGTATTAATATGTAACCTTTAAATTATGAAAAGTTATTATTATTGTGTATGTGTGTGTGCGCACCCGTGAGCGTGCATGTGCCCCTGATGTGGAGGGCGGGGCTCGTGTGCTTAGGTGTGCATGTGTGAATGAGGAGGTCAGGAGACAACTTATGAAGCCCATTCTCTTCTTCTGCCTCTGTGTGTTCTAGGAATCAAGCTCAGACCACCTCACTTGCATGGTTGAAGACCTTTATCCACTGAACCACCTTGCCTCCCAGTAAATGAGATTTCATTATTTTGATAAAATAGTATTCAAGTTAATAGAAAAATAAGACTCCATTTCAAAAGTTGATTAAAAAATTTGAAAGCATTAACTCATCCAAACCAAATACTTGTATAAATGTCAGAAACAAGGAGAACACAGTTGGCCAGCCAGGAAATAGGCCCGCTCAGACTTGGTTTTCCATGGCACGTTGTGTCCTGAGGAGCGGAGATAGTCAGATAACTCAAGAAGGCCTGGGAAGGGTTTTGTTCTTGGGTTCAAACCCAGGGTCTTGTGTATGATAGAAGTTTCTCTACCATTGTGCTACCCCCTCAAATGGACCACCTCTCACAGTTGGTATCAGCCATCTGTAGATGCTATTTGGCTGTGAGGAGAAAGACTGAACACTACACACTGGGAGGAACAAGGCTGAGTCTATTTAGTAAGAGCTTGGGTTAGAAATAGCCCTGATCTCCTATAAACCGTATCGTTTTCACCTGCTGTCTTCAGCCCCATGTACTTTACCAGCGATTTCATCCGCTTTTGTTATACGGTCATATAGTTTCCAGAGCCTAGAGGGAGCTGCGCGAGGTGGTTGGGAAGATTATAAAAGAAAGAGACTGAGTGTTAATATTGTAGCTCTAAACGCGTCTAAACCTGGTCGCCCACTGGTTATACCTTGCACGTCCTCGTCAATACTTGACGTATCGATGCAAGTCACGCATTATGGTTATATTTCTTAATAAGAATGGATTAATAAGGGACTGGAGATATGGGTCAGGGGTTAAGAGCACTGACTGCTCTTCCAGAGGACCCTGGTTCATTTCCCAGCACCCACATGGCAGCTCACAGTCCGTACCTCCAGTGCCAGGGACTCAGACACCTTCTGACCTCCAGGAACACAGGGAGTGTACATAGGGCACAGACATACTTACGTGCTAACAAAACACACAAACACATAAAATAAATTGATTAATTAAGAAGAGGGAATGAATAGCTAAGTATATATTTTTCTTTGTTGCAGAAGCCGTTCCCAGTTACACCACCAAAGTGTCATTTAGCCTTCAGCTTTGATCTGATCCACCTGAAGACCACAAAATCTTACCGCTCTGTGCTCTCCGTCTTTGTCTACGCGTTACATCTTACAGGAATTGTGGCTTGTGCTGAAGGACAAAGCTAGAAACTACCACCATCACTGTTAAGAAAAATAATTTTCAAATTTCAAATGAGGAAGACTGGTAAATTTGCATAATGTTAATATTAATAGACGGATTTGCATATCCTTTTCTATATAATGCACATTTAATACTTTAGGAAATATATTTTTTAAATATAGAGCAGCTAGGCAGTGATGGCAATGGCCTTTAAGCTCAGCACTCTGGAGGCTGAGGCAAACAGATCTCTGAGTTTGAGGCCAGCCTGGTCTACAGAGTGAGTTCCAGGACAGCCAAGGCTGTTACACAGAGAAACCCTGTCTCGAACAAAACAAAACAAAAACAAACAAACAAAAATACAGCTTAAAGAACAAGTTTTGAAACTGGATGCATTGTTTTCAGGAATCCAGGGCTGGAGGGTTGTAAACAAAAGGATCACCGCCGTGAAAGTGTTTCGGTGTACTATCCACTTGTATTGAGAGTAACGCTCCTGGAGTTTAAACAAGTGCTACTTCCACATTTTAAACTCACTTCGGCAAGTACATTTTAAATGATATTTTATTTATGTATACATAATACATAGTAATAAATTGTATTGTATTTATGTATTTAATTGTATTTAACTCTCAGGAGAGACTGAAGGTATAATTTGGGTCTCGAGGGTGGAAAGAAGGGCTGGCATATGTACTTCATTGGACCCTAGGTGCTCAGGTGGTGTGGGCCTGGGAAGGTCCAAATGTTGTGCTTGGGGAGCCCTCCTACCCTGACAGTTCCCCTGGTGGACCTGGGACATGAGAGCAGAGCAGAGCAGTGCCCTCAGTGCTCATTCCTGGAGGGGTCCACACTGATGACCCCCTAGAAAGGCTTGCATGTGGGAACCGCGGGAGGGCTCTGCCTGCCGGAGTGCAGCTGTGGGCCAGGCAGGGGATGTTAGTTTGTGTTGGCCAAGGGCTGGGCTCTCTGTTTTTGCACTACTTGTACCACGGGAAGAGCCGTATAAAGCTCCTGTTTTTCTACCAATGTCGAGTAGGACGGACAGGAAGTGGCTGGTCATCTTGAAGACAGGAGGGAAAACGCACACGCATCTCTGTGTGTATGAGTGGACTCACCCATGTAGTTCCCGCCCCCGCCATGTGGGGGCAGGGCAGCCGCTACAGCCTTTGCAGCGGGGAAGCATTCTGAAGCTGTGTTGTTAGATGCCGTACCGTCCAGGCATGGAACATGTGGAGTCTGATGACCCTCAAAAACTAAATTTTAAATGTAATTTACTTAAATAGTCACTTGTGGCTGTCATACCATACAACGAGGCCCAGCCTGCTTGATTGGGACGGAGGACGTTATCTGTGATTTTAAAAATGGGAGGGGTGGTTTTTACTTTTTCTTACCTGAAGAACTGATTTGCTCTTAGATTTATATAATTTTAAAAGGTTACCAAAAACACACAATTAATTAAAACAAAACAAAAACCCCTAAAACATAGGGGTTGCTAGGGCTGGGAGCTGACTCAGCAGGTAAAGCTATAGCTACTCAAATCTAAGGACCAGAGAAACCCATGGAAATCTTAAGTGGGCGTGGTGACCCAGCTGTAATTCCAATCTTGGGAAGGAGAAACAGGATGTGTTCAGAGCAATTGGCTAGCTAGCCAAACCCACTGGAAGCTCTTGTTTTGAATAGGAGACCCTGGCTCAGTAAACAAAATGGAAAGATGATAGAAGATGATTCAGACTCAGACCTCTCTGTGTGTGTGCGTGTGCGCGCGGGTCCGTGTGCCCTACACACTTGCGAAGCTATGTAATGCATGCATACATACACTCACAGAAAAGGGAAAGGAGATTAAAATTGGCACCTTGGTATTTTGCCTGTGCCAGTATTTGATTTAAGTCCAAACATTTTAACCCTTAATAGATGTGAGACAGGTGGCCTCCTCCAGGCCAGGGAGATGTCTCAGGAGAGCGTGACCGCAACAAAACGCAGCAGTGAGAAGTAGGTTAAAAGACAAAGAGGCAGAAGATGAGGGCTCTCTTTAGACTTCAGGGCTTTCAAATTGATGAGTAGCCCTACTTGGATGGCTTCAGAATTTATTTCTTACTCAAGTACATATATCAATATGTGAAAATTATATGTGAAAAGGCAGAAGTGTAGAATTTTACACAAATAGACTGTTCATAATTTATGTAAGATTTATTTCAATAAAAACCAGATTTTTGTGAAAAAACTTCGTCTCTCTCTCTCTCTTTGTGTGTGTGTGTGTGTGTGTGTGCGGGTTTGTGTGGAGCCTAGAGGTTGACGAGGGGTGTCTCTTTGCCCCTGTGTTGATATTATTGTTACTATTGAGGCAGTATCTCTCACTGAGCCTGTAAATTGCTGTTTTCGCTACAGTGGCTGGTCAGTAACTCCCTGGAAGCTGTCTGTCTCAGGTCCCCAGCACTGGAGGGACTATGTGACTCCACACCTTGCTTTTCACAGGTGCTGAAGATCTGAACTCAGGTCTTTGTACTTGAGTGGCATTGTCTGCTGAGATGTCTCTGTAGGTGGAGACTGCTTGTTTGTTCCTGACCACCCAGACTCGAAATAATCACACAGAAACTGTATTAATTAAAACACTGATTGGCCAATTAGCTCATGCATATTTCTAGCTAACTCTTACATTTTGAATTAACCCATTTCTATTAATCTATGTATCACCACAAGGCTCATAGTTTACTGGTAAGGTTCTCAGGTATCTGTGTCCTTCGGCAACTACATGGTGTCTCTCTGACTCTGCCTACTTTCTCCCAGCATTCAGTTTAGTTTTCCTGTCTAACTCTATTCTGCCCTGTCATAGGCCCAAGAAGCTTCTTTATTCATTAACCAATAAAAGCAACACATGTACAGAAGGGCTTCCCAGATCACATCTCTCTAAGTCCCTAATTGGACTTGTAAAGGCATCTCTCTCCCCAATGTCTTTTCCCTATCACAGAGTAGCTGCATATACCTCCATGGAGACCACTGTTTGAGAAGGCAGGCATTCAGTTTACTACTTCCATCTCACACCCTCCCAGACTGGCAGCAGAGGGTCTGAGCAAAACTTGCTGAGGAGCTCACAGGTTCAAGACTTCCAAATAATTCTGAGTCCTCCAACTCCGTTCCTTCGCAATAGGTCAAAACCATGCGTGTGTGTGTGTGTGTGTGTGTGTGTGTGTGTGTAGTATCCAAGCGGGAGTCATAAGAGTATTAATTCTCTGCTGACCCTCCTGGCTCCTATCTGAGACTCAAGCACTTGAGAGGCTGAAGCGAGAGGATTGGTGTGAATACCTAGTGAGTTCCAGACCAACTTCAACTACACAGGAAGTTCTCAAACCTACCCTAACACACCCACATGGGAAAAAAATTAAAGAAACTTAACCATCTTAAGATGAGAACTTTAGTGGCTTTTAGTGCACTTCCAGTATTGAGAGAGCGTTACCTTCTCCATCCAGTTCCCAAGCATTTTACCACCCCTTCTTCCCTCATGAAATCCACATTGGTTGAACAAGGGCTTTGCATTTTTTCCCCCTTTCTCCAGCCCTGGTAGCCATCTCTGGGTTCTCCTGATTTTATTGATGTTTTGTATAAAGGGTTACACAATATCTGACTTTTTTGGGATGTTGCAACATTTTTTTTTTTTTTTTGCCACCCAGCATTCTTTCTTCAAGGCTCAGAAGCCGTATTTTATGGAAAGTGTCACAACGACAGCTGCAAAGATTAGAAAGACCAGCAGTCGAAACGGTTTATGTTCCATGCAATTACAAAAGCCCTGGCAGAAGCCCTTGCAGCACTCACAGAAGCATCCGCAGCAGCACTCGTGGCAGGCCCCGCAGCAAGCTTTGCAGCAGCAGGATTCACCTGCTGGGTGGATATGGCTGCTTCTCTCTACCTGGCCAGTGATGTTTGCTCGTGGTCTCCCAGAATTGGGCACAACATACGCGGGAGTGGGTGGGACATAGGAGGAGGAAGTGGGTAGGATGAATGAGGAGGAAATGGTTGGGACAAATGCAGAGGACGGGGGCAATGCCTCTGGGATCTTGGACCTGGAGTTCTTGTTTCCTGTACCTGCTGTTCCACTGCTCTTGACGGGAGAAGGCATTTGAATGATACATCTAGGGGCAGGTGAGCTTGCAGGTGCCAACTGTTGGGTTGTCAAGATTGGGACAGTTGATGGGTTTGAGGCGTGGCTCACCTTAGGGTCAGCTTTGGTAAGGTTACTGGCTTTGGTGTCCACTTTTGATGCTTGGGGCTTTCCCACTTTAGAGGAAGTGGGTGCAACATATGAGGAAGAAGTGGATGGGACAAATAAGGAAGTGGGCGGGACATAGGAGGAGGAAGTGGGTAGGATGAATGAGGAGGAAATATTTGGGACAAATGCAGAGGACGGGGGCAATGCCTCTGGGATCTTGGACCTGGAGTTCTTGTTTCCCGTACCTGCTGTTCCACTGCTCTTGACGGGAGAAGACATTTGAATGATACATCTAGGGGCAGGTGAGCTTGCAGGTGCCAACTGTTGGGTTGTCAAGATTGGGACAGTTGATGGGTTCGAGGTGTGGCTAACCTTGGGGTCAGCTTTGGTAGGGTTACTGGCTTTGGTGTCCACTTTTGATCCTTGGGGCTTTCCCACTTTAGAGGAAGGCTGTGAGCAGGAGACGTTGCTGCGTGTGACAGTGACCATAGGCTCCCTAGTTGACTTAGAGGAGGCGGGAGACAATGGGCATGCTGGTGGTTTTGAGGCTAGGCCTGAGCTACTCTGAACACAAAAGCCCTGCAGACAGGCCTCACAGTTGTTTCTGTCATGTGGGCCTTCGAGACCCGTGTCTCCAAGCAAAGGAATCTCAGCCATTTCCTTAAACTCTTCTCCATAGCACTTCCTCAGAATTCTGAAGACCAGATTGCTCAAGATCCTTGAGATGTTGTCCCAGCTGAACTCTGGAGCTGCAAATGGAGGCTCGGGGCACTTGTTACATCTCTGAGCAAAGACCCTCATCTTCACACGTCCCTTGCTGTTCTTCTTATACCAGCGCATGTGGAAGACCACCAGGACACAGCCAGAGGCCCAACTGCGAGAGCAGCTGGGGCAGAGGAACCTGTGGAGAACCAGGCGAGAGCTTCAGCCAAGCTGTGGGCAGGTACCGGAGGGAGAAGGAGCCTCTCACTAGCAGTGAGAGAAATGAACGAGCCCCTCTTCCTCATCTCCACCTGGTCACCAATATTCTCTGTGGCCATTGTTAGATGCTTGCTGTGCAAACAGCAAGACACCAGCCTTCTGACTCCAAAGGGACCCCGGGCATTTTCTAGGTCCAGTGTGTGCATTGTACATTTCAGAGGCAAGGCACACAACGGGACCTCACCACACCCCAGGACCTGGGGTTCGTGAGCCGGGACTGGAGCTCTGGTATCTGAACCCTAAGCCATTGTTTCTTCAAACATCGATGTAAATGTGTTCAAGACTATACATGCCACAGCCTTCCAAGTATCCCATGCTGAAATGAACAAGTGGATATAAGTGGGTGCTAGGTAAGTCACCAGCAGGTCAGGAGAGAGCTGCAGCCTCCTGCCTCAGAGACATCCTGCCTGCTTTTGTTCCTCAGGTCCCATGATTTGTAAATCCCCACAGATCACCTTCCAGCTCTCTCTCTCTCTCTTTTTTTTTTTTTTTGTGGTACCCCACCCCAACTCCTAATTTTTCTTATATACACCAGAGAATGTTGCGTTGTTTCTCAGGGCTTGCCTCCAACAGGGCGCAGAATGACACATCTTCTCAGCAGAGAGAGCATTTTCTCTAAGACATTTGCACAAACGCCTACTGGGAACAGTGAAGGAAGAACAGGGGAAGCCTATGCTTCCTAGAACAGGGGTTGTGCAAAGCCAGAAGACTGCAGTGTGGTGGAGACGTTTATTGTTCATCAAATAACCCATAAATGCCCTCTTGATTCAGTCAGCTTGGGACCATGGAACCTGTTGATGGGACTTGAACAGCAGTCAGATCTCCTTTCTCAAGGCCCCAGCCCTCTCTGCCTCGGTAGCCTTGGGAGCTGTGCATTCAGTTAAATGCTGGGATTTGGTTTTTTATTTTTATGTTTTTTCTATAGCTGTTGATCCTAACTTTGCTTGAGGCAGGAGAATCTGCAGTCTGAGGTGGGACGTTGGAGGAGGCTGGACTGAACAAGGAAGCTCCTCCTAGGAATTTGTGCATGCTAAGTCAATGTACCACTGAGCTACAACCCCAGGCCCCTCTTTTCCATGCTTTGATCTTAGCCTGCTTTCTTAGGACAAATGTGGAAATGAACCGAGAGGAGGAGATGCTGAGAAGCTAGCTAGCTCCGAGTCCCACGAAGTGTACTGGCCAGGAACCTTCCCTCAGTTCTGCACAAGGACCTGCCTGAGCTGTCCTGAGCTGTCCTGAGCTGTCCTGAGCTGTCCTGAGCTGTCCTGAGCTGTCCTGAGCTGTCCTGAGCTGTCCTGAGCGGTCCTGAGCGGTCCTGAGCTGTCCTGAGCTGTCCTGAGCTGTCCTGAGCTGTCCTGAGCGGTCCTGAGCTGTCCTGAGCTGTCCTGAGCTGTCCTGAGCTGTCCTGAGCTGTCCTGAGCTGTCCTGAGCTGTCCTGAGCTGTCCGCCTCCCACACTGGCCTGGTCTCAGCACTCTAGCTCCGCTGTGTGCCAGGCCAGAGTCCCAGGTTCTCAAATAAACAGACTATGGCTTTGCTCTGGAGCTTCCCAAGTCAGCTTCTGCTTGGGAAAGGGCCAGTCTCCTCACAGTGGCCAGCAGGCATGACAGATCTCAGGGCTCTACCCTCTCAGCCCTCTTACCTCCACCCCTAGGCTTTGGGGCACCTACTTTCTATGGAAAAGAAAGGGTAAAATGTTGGGTGGTGCTGGGCGGTGGTGGCACACGCCTTTAATCCCAACACTCGGGGGGCAGAGACAGGCGGATCTCTGTGAGTTCGATGCCAGAGCTACAACTACAAGAGCTAGTTCCATGACAGGCTCCAAAGCTACACAGAAACTCTGTCTTGACAAACAAACAAACAAACAAACAAACGAACAGACTGTTGGGTGGCCCCGGAAAGTCCTATTTGAGAAAGAATATCTTGGCTCGTAGTAGAGAGTGACATGGTTGCTGTGAGCGCTTTGGGCCATGTGCCTGTGATCTGTCCTGAAGAGTCTCCCCAGGATAAACCTGTCTCTTCTCAGGAACTCCAGGAAGAGGGACTCTTTCAAGGCAGGTAGGAAGTGCAGAGCCCCTGGAGTAAATGAGCCTCTACCCTCCCCTTCCCAACTGTCCCACTTCCCAGCCAGAATTCTTAGTATCTAGGCTGCCACTGTCTTAAGTTCCTAGTAATGGGGCGGGATCCCCAGTCTCTAATAAAGCTGGAATTCCTTCCTGTGTTCTTCAGCGTGCAAGCCTGGACGGAGGAGAATAGTGATGAGTAAGAAACAAAGAAGAATTGTGCAGACCATCGTGCCTCGCTCACCTGGCAAAGGTCTTTTGCTGGTACTGTGTCCACCCAGGATTCAGAACATCAGGAAGAAGCTCCTTGTCTGGTGTGAGGGTCCATTTGTGCCATGGTTTCACCTCTTGAATCAGCTCCTGGAATACTTGTTGCCATACCTCTGTGTCTTCTTCCATCATGGCTATAGTGTGGTGGCTACGCTGGGGCAGGGGCTCCTGACTGGGGGCAGGGTCTCCTGGGTTGGGGTAGAGGCTCCTGCGTGGGGACAGGGTCTCCTGGGTATTCCAGGGTCTTCTGGGTGGGGCAGAGTCTCCTGGGTAGGATTTCCTGAACTGGGGCAGGGTGTCCTGGGTTGGGGTAGGGTCTCCCGGATGGGACAGGGTCTCCTGGTCCTGGGTAGGGTCTTCTGAACTGGGGTAGGGTCTCCTGGGTTGAGGTAGGGGCTCCTGTGTGGGGGCAGGGTCTCCTGGGCCTGGGTAGTGTCTCCTGGGTATCCCAGGGTCCTCTGGGTGGGGCAGAGTCTCCTGGGCCCAGACAGACCCGTGGCGGGATGTAAGGTTTTCCACTTCAGAGAGTGAGGGTTCAGACTGGCAATCCCTTTGAAGATTTGGATTGGGACAGTGGTTCAGATCCTCTGTCCCAGGGGCAAAGGTCAGTTGAATCTGTTCCCAAGTTCAGAGGACAGCTGTGGACACCACAAGAAATCACACAATGAGCTGCCTCTGACACAGAGGCCCTGGAATGGTGGAGGTCACTCTTGCCTTTTCCGGTTCTAACATTTAAACTCCTCATCCACTGGGCTGCTGGATTCCTGCTTGAGGCAAAAGGGGCCTCCTTGGGATTCCCATACCCTGGGAAGTCCTCGTTCATACCTAGCTCCTCAGGAGGATGGTGGCCTGCTGGCCCTGCCTACCAACCACGGCCTGAACAGAGGTCTCAGCCCCTATCCTCCACTTACCGGAAATCAAAGTTGGTTGTTCAGTCAGTGTGTGCCCAGGAGATTAGTCTCTGGGTGGGTGGGAGGCTGCTGGCCCGAGACCAACAGGGATCCTTTGCCTTCCTCCATGAGAAGCTTCCCTGTCACCACACACTGAAGAAGAGGAAGGAGAGGCAGGCGGAGGTAGCCAGTGCTGGAGCAGGCAACACTGTAGGAATGGCAGACAAGATTCTGAGTGTCCACTCCAGAGGACTTCATCCAAAGATAGGGTGGGTCTTCCTACCACCCAGTTGGACATATATGTATTGCCCTGCTGGCTTCCAAGCTGGAGGCTCCTCAGCCTAGAGGAAAGGAAGGAAACAAGGGGAGGGGCTTCCTGTGAGGTTTGGAAACCAAGCTTTCCCCTGTTTTTCTCTGCTGTCTCTGACCCAAATCACAACAGCGTCATGGCCAGACTCAGATCACAATGGACCCTTTCCTTCCTGCCCTCATTTAGTTTCTCAACGCTATTTGCTCAGTTATAAATTAACTCCATTTGGGGAAGTGGTCCAGTGTCTTTCTTTCTTGTTTTGTCCCTCCCCCTTTCAACCTCTTACACTGGGCTGTGTCCACCTGTTGTCTGCTTGCTTAGTCCAGCTCCCAGTAAATAGAGGTTCTCTGTTCGTGGTCAGCAGTGCCACGTTCTTCACGCTTTGGGGGATTTTTCATAGGGATTTCACCACGTAAAACAGACCCCAGGGCAGGTGCTGACATGTTCCCGAGAGAAAGAAGGCCACGGTGTTTCTAACACAGAAAGTGCAAGTATCAGGGAACTTTGTTCGGGGCCCAGTTACGCAGTGTGGTTGGCCATGGGCTCAATGTTAAGAAGTCAATAACTGCATACATAATAGAACAGTTTTAGACAGAGACAACACGAGGGCTCCTGTTGATTATGTGACTGAAACATGAGCAAGGGATACAAGAACCTAATGGTAGTCCCCTTAGGAACCGTGGCTTTGTATTCAAGACGACACTTAGGACCGCCTTGAGCAGTGAGAACCCACTGTTCTCTCCTTTGCCCGCCTTGCTAGCCTCCTCTCTTGCATTCTATAGGGGAGTTGAGTTGGGGGAGCAAGTCTCTGCCTTGCTCTGGTTTTTGTTCAGAAAGTTACTAATGCCTCGTTCGGTTAGCCAGCAGAGTTTCCAGACCCTCTGCTGTCTTCTAGTTCTGTTCCCCCACCCCCCACAGACCAAAGTCCAAAGAGCCTCTCTCTCTCTCTCTCTCTCTCTCTCTCTCTCTCTCTCTCTCTCTCATCAGCCTGTGGTTAGGAACTGGTGTGTACCTTCTCCAAGTGGGTTGGATTTGTGACAGCCTGAACCAGGCATCTACTTGTGAATTGGTGTGGAAATCACGGGCGTGTACAGATGTACTAGAGGACCTGAGGTAAGTCCTGCTTTGGAAGATTTAAGGTTTCTGTGGCCACGAGGACACAACACAGCAACAGAAGACAGGCAACAGGCCTAGCTGCTTGTCATTTACAACCCGATCAAGAGAAGGATGCCAGGTGAGCCCACACAGGGTGTCCAGGAACAAGGAAGAGCTAAGTGTAGCTATAGGGCACAGTGTATGTGTGGCAGTGGCCTGAGGGCACCTAGGCTCACATCAGCCTCTCCTGGGGTAATGAGTTCACCCCTAGGGGCAACAACCATAGACCAAAGCAACTCTTGTCGCCCGAGTCTAGCTTGGTGAACCAGTGAGTTTATTGGGATTTCTTAGGGACATGGGTGAGGGTTTGCTTCTATCTCCTCTTACCTTATATTCCTCTGTCCTCCCCACCATATCACTCCTGTCTCCTCCTTCCTAGAGCTGGAATTAAAGGTATGGGATCCCAAATGCTGGGATCACCTTTGTGTGAACTGTTTCTCTTTTAGACAGATTCAATCTCATGTAGCCCAGGGTGGCCTTAAACTAACAGAGATCCCTCTGCTTCTGTCTCCCAAGTCCTGGGATTAAAGGTGTGTGCCACCACTCCCTGGCCTCCAGTGGCTTAGATCTGCACTCTGATCTTCAGGCAAGCTTTGTTTGTTAAAACACAAACAAAATATCACTACTGCCACTGAAAAGTCTGACCCCAGCACGGGTGACAAGTTCCCCATAGCTGTATAGCTGGCGCCCCCCCCCTTTGGTTAACTTTCTATCTCCTACATACTATGACCCCCTCCTGAGATAATGTGTAGTTGGGGTGGAATTATGTATGACTGAGAGAGGATGTAGGAGGGAGAGTCCGGAATCTCAGTCAAGGATCTAAGGACCCTCTCCTAGAATCCCTAGTATGAGAGAGTGGCAGTCACCGTCACTCTGATGAATGACAATGGATGTTACACTTGAAAATTGGAGTTTCTACGACACTAGTCAGCCTAGGCTTCCATGGGTAGGCTCGAGGGTTCTGGAGCAGCAAGGTGTACCTCATTTGTCCTTATCTGTCGTGTACTGGGGCTTGAGGCTGTGGGGGCAGATGCACAGTGGCTCACACTATGATGAACGAGGAATGGTTGGAGTATAGAGGTGACCAGCTGCTGAAGAAGGAAAACTGACCAGACCCTCCACTAGTCGAAGCTGGGTTGAAACACCTTAACCAAAATTGTATTATGAGATGATTCTGACTTACATTAGGTCAAAAGTGCAACAGCAGGTATCTTCACAATGGGGAGGCAGAGGGGGGCAAGACACAGAATCATAGGAAAAGGCCATTTAGAGACAGAAGCAGACTAGAGTTAGGTCGTCAGGAGCAAAGGGATGCCTGGACCCTGAGGAGGCAAGAAAATTTCTCCCTAGGGCCTCTGGAGGGGTGGAAGGACTGAAGACAGCTTGATTTTGGACTTCTGACTTCCAGAACCATGAGAATAAATTTTTATTGTCATAAACCATCCAGTCTGTGGTCTAGCTGTGACAGATGACAGGAGCAACAGATACGGGCTCTTACATTCTATTTCATAAGGGCACATTTGTATTTTACATTGTAAAGGAGGCTGCACACACATCACAGATGGCTCAGCATGGACACCTGCCAAAGATGTGTTTGTTCTAAGTTAACCTTTGGCTTGGGCAGCACTTCAAGAGGAACGCAGCGAGTCTGGGGATGATGTGTGGGGACCACTGGGAGCTAAGGAGACCAGAGCCTCAGAGCTCAGAGCCAGCTGACCCCGGCCAGAGGATGAAGACTGTACTGTAGAATTGATTATGCTGCCATTCCCTATCACGTCTGTCAGCTGGAGATGAGCCTCCAGCAGAACCAACCGCTCGTTCCCACCGCAGTGTTTCTTTAGCGCCCCCTACTGAGAAGGTTTAACAAGCTGTTTGCTGTAGGCTCGCAACCACTTCAGTTACAGATCTGACCTCTAAGGACACCAGCAAAGCATGCGTGCACAGGTATACATTGAGGCAAACACTCACACACACAAAATAGAAAGAAATCCTTAAAAATGACTCTATTAGCATATGTTAATTATACACAATAGTATATTTCATTATGACACTTTCACAGGTGGGCGCCATTCCTCACTGTCTTTAGTTGTATATCCTCTGCTGGGCCCCCGAGACTTCAGCAGAAAGCTCCAAATTCACCGTCACACAGATGGCCCTGGGCAGTGTTGGTGAGACACAACACAAAACAAACGGTCTATGGAGCGAGTTCTAGGACAGTCAAGGCTACACAGAGAAACCCTGCCTTGGAAAATCAAATATATATGACAATTGGTAATGACAGCTGCAGTATCACCAGACAAAACTCATGAGAACACTGTACTACATGTGGCTTACCATTGGTCAAAACAGTGGTACACAATACATAGGCTGAATACACATATTTACAATTTTTTAAAAGATTTACTTATTTATTTATTATGTATACAGTGCTCTGCCTGCATGCCCGCCTGCACACCAGAAGAGGGCGCCAGATCTCATTATAGATGGCTGTGAGCCACCATGTGGGTGTTGGGAATTGAACTCAGGACCCCTGGAAGAGCAATTGGTGCTCTTAACTGCTGAGCCATCTCTCCAGCCCCTACTTATCTATGATTAAAATGATTATTTTATTTATTTATTATTATTGTGTGTGTGATGACTCAGGGGACAATCCTCAGGAGTTGGTTCTTTCCTTCAACCCGAGACCTAGGAATGTAACTCAGGTCATCAGATTTGGCGGCAAGTGCCTTTATTGAGCAGACTTGCTGCTATTTTATAGCTATAATTTAGTACATATATACATATGTATATGTGTGTATATGTATATATACATACATACATGCACACACATAGTTTGTTGATAGGTCCTAGAAATAACAGCGTCCCAGGAGCAACAAGCGCACAGTGTTGCCTCTTTGTTTCTAAAAACCATTTCCTTAAAAAAGGAGTCAAGACGCCTTGGAAAAAATTGTTGATTCTAGGGCTGGGTCAGGGGGAAAGAGCCTGGGGTACTGGGAAGTTTCTGGAAGAAAAGAAGATCTGGGTGTAGCGTGTACATATTTAATCCCAGCTCCCAGGAAGCAGAGACAAGAAGTTGGCTGCAAGTTTGAGGCCAGCCTGGGCTACATAATGAAACCCTGCCTTCAACAACAACAACAAGCTAGAAAGAAAAGGGCTCAAGAAACAAAAGTGTAGCAGCACAGAGGGGCCAGAGGCCGACTTGACAGAGCTGTGCTGAGTGACACCGGGATGATCCGGGCCATGAAATAGCCACACGGTGTTTGTGCTGCCTGGTCTAAGTCAGCTTGACACAAGCTAGAGTTATTCGAAAGGAGGAAACCTCAATGAGAAAATGCCTCCTAAGATCTAGCTGGAGCGCATTTTCTTCATTAGTGACCAATGGGGGAGCCCAGCCCATTGTGGGTGGTGCCATCCCTGGGTAGGTGTCCTGAGTTCTAGAAGAAAGCAGGTTGAGCAAGCCAGTAAGCAGCACTCCTCTGTGGCCTCTGCATCAGCTCCGGCCTGCAAGTTCCTGCCCTGCTTGAGTTTCTGTCCTGACTTCCTTTAATGATGAACAGTGATGTGAAAATGTAAGCCAAATAAATCCTTTCCTCCCTGTGGCTTGAAAGAAAAAGGCCCTCAAAGGGAGTGGCACTCTTAGGAGGTGTGGCCTTGTTGGAGGAAGTGTGTCACTGTGGGATCAGGCTTTGAGGTCTCAAAAATGCTCAAGGCACACTCAGTGTCTCAGTTTACCTTTGGATTAAGATGTCAAATTCTCCAGCACCGTGTCTGCCTGCATGCTGCCATGCTCCCTGCCATGATGATAACGGACTGAACCTCTGAAACCGTAAACTGCCACCTCAGTCAAATGTTTTCCTTTATAAGAGTTGCTTTGGTCATGGTGTCTTCTCATAGCAGTAGACACCCTAAGATACTCCCGACTTGCTTTTTGGTCATAGTGTTTTGCTGTAATTATTGGATTATAATCTAGAGTATAATAAATACATCAACCCATACAGATACAAAAGAATGAATAAGGAATAGAGGACGGGAGCTGGGAAGTGACTGCTCAAACATAAAGACTTAGGCTCAGCTCCCTAGAATTGGGGGACTGGAGAGATCACTCAGAGGCTAGAGGCTGTACTCCCAGAGAAACCAGAGTTCAGTTCCCAGCACCTATGTGGCGGCTTACCGCTGTCTGTAACTCCAGTCCCAGAGGATCTGACACTCTCTTCTGGCTTCTCTGGGCACCAGGCACTAGACACTGGGTGCACAGACTTGCATTCAGGCAGAACACATGAAGATAAATGAGTAAATAAGATAAAACAAAATAAAAAAGCCAAGTGTAGCAGGGCCCATCTGTAACCCCAGGTCTGGGGAAACCCAGATGGGCAGATCCCTGAAACTCATTGGCCAGTCAGTTTAGCCAAATGGATGAGCTCCGGGTTCTGCAAGTGACCCTGTTTCAAAAAATAAGGTGGAGAGAGATCAAGGAAGACAGAGATAAAGGGAGTCAACTTTTAGCTTCCACATCCATGTGCACATATCTGAATACACGCATGCACACCCATTAGCAAGAATATATTTCACACACACAAGACAAAGAAACAAATAGCATATCTGATAGCCCTTTTAGGAGGTAAAGCTTGGTTTAGCTCCTACCTCTCTTTCTGTGTGAGCTAGACTCACTTCATAGTGACTTCCAGGACAGCCAGGGCTGTGCAGAGAGACCCTGTCTCAAAACAAACAAACAAACAAACAAACAAACAAAAAATAGCATACAGAGCAGAGAAAAGGGAACAGTAGTTTTACAATGGCGAAGGGCACATCTCCTATCCAGGAAGCACATACTCTCTGATAGGATGTGAAGTGGGAGGGGCTTCACTCTGTGGTAATTTTACCCCAAATCTACCATCCCTGTCTAGTCAGCAGATAAACAGAGGACACGCCTGGCATGGGTCTGGAGCATGCCCAAAGACTGTCAAGGTCACGAATCATAATAAACAACACAGGAGAACACTGGAATGCAGTGTGACTTGCTGGATGCCATCCTAGAACAGAAAAGGGATTTCAATGGAAAAATTGGTGGGCTCTAAAGAAAGCCTGGAGTTCAGTTAGTAGTTATAGAACAATGTCAGCTTGCTATTTTTCTTAGATTTATTTATTTTATGTGGATGAGTGTTTTACTTGCATGTATGTCTGTGTGCCACCCGTGTGCCTGGTGCCTCCTGGGCATCCAATCTCCTAGAACTGGAGTTACAGATGACTATGAGAGCCGTGTGGGTCCTCTGCGGAAACAAGGGTTCTTAATCACTGTGCCACCTCTCCAGACACCAGCCTGTTTTAATCAATAGACCTTGGGGCAATGGTAACACTGGGACATCCTGGATGAGGGAATGTTTGGGGGACTCCCTGAGAACAATGGGAAGACCTGGAGATCCTGAATGAGGGATGTATGGGGGGTCTCCTGACTCACTTTGCGAAGTTTCTGTGAAGCTTGCCGAAACAAAACGTTTTAACCATGAGTGTTTGTGGCTGGGCGTGGTGGTGCACACTATTAATTCCACACCTCAGGAGGCACAAGAGAAAGATCTATGTGAGTTTGAGGCCAACCAGAGCTACATGATGAGACTTTGTCTCAAACAAACAAACAGACAAAAACAGAACCGGGTGTCTGGGGGCTGAGATTGGGCTTCCTGAACATTAGTTTCTGTAAATTGGAAGATACAGTCTCTGCCGGACCTGACCAGGCCGTAATGAAGAAGTCAACAGGTACAGATGCACACCTGTTGCCTGTCAGTGGGAAGAACAGGGACCCAGAAGTATCAAGCACCAACCTCTAGAGGGCGCCTCAGTTCTGCCCACAGGACTGAGCTGGACTCCCTCGTTCCCCCTGGTAGACTTTGCAGGACTTGTTGGCCGTTGGCTTAGGAGTTACCCACTTCACTATGTCCTCTCAGGATCTTTCAGCTCAGATACTTGATTCTAGGTCTGGCAGGGCGAGTCTTCAGTGGGTCCGGGTGCAAAAGCTCGCTGTGAGAAGCCAACCCCGGAAACGCCTTTCCTTCCAAAGTTGGTCCCAAATTCCTCTTCTCATTTTTCTGGTTTCTCTTCTTAAGATGGCCACCGGCCTTAGAATAGTCTAAGGCAAGTTCTCTGGGACGCTGGCTCTTGTAGGTTCCTCCTGTGTTCTTCCCAGGGGAGTGCATAGGGTTAGGCGACTCTGAACTCCTCTCTGAGGTTTATTCTGTGCTCTTGGTTCTCCTTCTGGGAGAAGTGAGTATGTGGTGTAGGCCTAGGAAGCTCCTCACACAGCGGGCCACAGCACAGGCCCTGATCACCCCAGCAGCCAGGCCAGGCCGCAGTGGTGGACCCGGCTAGGCCTTCATGTCTATAACCCTCAGTCAGTGTGCCAGCTGTCAGCATTACCTGAGTGAAGCCCGAACCCCAGGCGCTACAACATGACATTATGCGAAGCATGATTAATAAAAACTCAGGGATAGAAACTGGGGTTCAACCTGAAGGTCAGAAAAGCAAAGCAGTCATTACCTCCACCTCAGTCCAAAATGGCACCCCTGCCTCCAGGAATCTCAGAATAAGACTGTGTCTGAGAGCTGTTTCCTCCCGTTTTATAATCCTCTCTAGTTCTGGGATTAAAAGCACACACTACAGGGATTAAAAGTATGCACTGCCTGGTTTCTATGGCAACAAGTATGGCTACTGGGATTAAAGGTCTGCATTACCACCACCTGGCTATAAGGCTGACCAGTGTGGCTGTTTTACTCCCCCGATCTCCAGGCAAGCCTTATTTATTAAAATACAATTGAAATGCCACTAGAATTATGGGTGTGACTAAGGACACCTTTGGCCAGAGCCAGCCAATTTGAATGGGCTCTGTGAAGAGTGAGGGCCTTGACAAGGAAAGAGTTTGGTTTGAGGCTTCTAGGGCTGAGGCACATACTCTCTCTAGCTGTGTGGAGACCTGTCATTTCCCTACGGGCTGTGGTATGCCCTCTGCCTGCCCCTCTCTCCCTAGCGCTAACCTTACCACCCATGTGACTGGAATGATACTACCAGCTGTGACAATGGTGGCTTTACACTCCTGTCACGGAGCTTGCTCGTTTTCACTGGTCCTCCTGAGCCCTCAGGAGAGCCTCCCACCCAGTCCCTTTCCTTGGGAACTTCTGCTCATTCTTGGTCCCCAGCAAGGTACCATGATGAGGTCCCCAGTAAGCCGTGTCTCACAGCTATCACAGGCTCATAGTCAGCTGGAGCCACAGCGTAGTAGACTGGAGGAGGACAAGGCTTTAGGTCCAGCCAATAGGTATGTGCGCGCAGGCCTATGAGTGCAGGTACATGGAGGTAGTTAGACGTCAACCTTGGGGGTCGCTCCTTAGGAACTTCCACCTTGGTTCTTGCTTGCTGCATGCCTGGCTTTTAAATGTAAGTTCTAAGAGATTCAACATAGGTCCTCATGCTTTCATGGCATGTTTGCTTCCTGACTGAGACGGCTCACCAGCTCCCAACCAGCCGCTCTTATTTCTGGTCGACTGCCCCAGGGCCTTTGAGCCAGGCTGTACTCCTGAGATCTTGGCTACTAATGTTCCTGATTCCCCAGAACTCCAGCTTGAACTCTAGGCTGGGTCCTGATTGTTCCAGAATCCAATCAACCTTCTTTCTGGGAAGAAAAAAAAGACTCATTTTCCCTGTCAAAATGCAGGGACTGGCTATGCTACTGAACTGCTGGTTCCAGAGAGAAGAAATTGCCAGGCAGGGGATTCATTCAGAGGACAGGCTTCTACATCTGTGACCCTTTGGCAGCCCCAGAGGGTGTTGGGAGAGTGGAACTCTGAACCCCAAGGCAATGGCGGGGAGGATGGTATGCGGGGAGACCAACTGGGTGGCCTCGGTTCTCAGCAGGCACCAGGAATGTTCAACGTACTTTCCTTCTTTTCTGTAATCCTTCCTGGGAGGTCTTGGATGTTCCTGTTTCATCAGGCGAAGCCAATTGTGACCAACAGCTGCTTTGGCGTATGCTGGGGCCCCCAGATCCTAGGGTGGGAGGAGGGTGGGACATTCTGGGATCTTCCTGGCACTGCCTACCGGGCAGAGACATACCGGTTTCCAGGGTGGGGTTTGGAGAGAGGAGAGTATAGTCTGAGTATTCAGAAGGGCACTCAGGTGCAGAGGGTGCTCCCCAAACATCCTTCTTCCTTCTTTGCTTCCTTCTCTCTCTTTCCAGCTCCAGTTCAGCTGTCTAGCCCATGGTGACTTGTCTGGCCACAAACATGGATTACCCAGCCCTTGGGCCCCTCCTGCCATTCCTTCCCTCTTTAGCCATTGGCAAGCTTGGCATTTCAAAGAAAGTCTTGTAGGTTCCAGAGGTCAAGAGGCTCAGGGAGAGGACAGTTCACAAGGCTGTGGCTTTTACAAGTGCATTTCCAATCCACATGTAATATACATTTAAAATCACACACAGTGAATATTCCTATAGAAATTAATTGCACAAAGTGAACAATAGCCGTGTAATAATACCCCAAGACAAGGAAAACAGACCTGAACAAAACAAAACATTACCAGCCCACAGCTTGACTCCTCTCCAGCCCTGTCAATCATTTTCCCGCCCCTCCTTCCCAGGGAGGTGGTGTTAAATGAGCCAGAGGCTGCAGAGCTTTGTGTGCCTCTGACCTTCCCTTGCTTGCGTTCCTGTGGTTTTGAGGCTGCCCGAGTCAACTGTGGTTGTCTGGTGGGGAATGATGGTGTGCAGTTGTTTATCTCTTCCTAGTTCAGGGGCCACCTGTGTCGGTAGCTGGCAATCAGCCAAAGTGGGGCGTTTTCACACCACAGTAGCTGCCAAAATCAATAGAAATTGATTATTTATTTATTTATGTTGAGACAGGGTTTCTCTGTGTAGTGTTGGCTGTCCTGGAACTACTAGCCTGGGCTGGCCTCCAACTCATAGAGACTCACCTGCCTTGCCTCCTAGGTGCTGGGATTAAAGGTGTGTGCCACCACCCCGGCTAGTTTACTTATTCATTATGGAGATAAGGTCTTGCTGTGTAGAGCAGGCTAGCCTGGAACTCACATTTCTGTGTGCTTCTGCCTCCCAAGTGCTGGGATTAAAATTGTATGCCATTGTGCCTAGCTGTTTTTTTTTTTTTTTTGAGACAGTATCTCACAAAGTAGCCCAGGCTATCCTAGAATTTGTGGTTCCTGCCTCACCCTCTGCTACCCCAAGCAAACACTTCCACACTCAGATAAAGCAATACTAGTAAAATAGTCACATCAAATTAAATTATAGATGGCTTATTAAAAATCTACCAGTCCACACCTTGAATCATGGCACTTGGGAGGCAGAGGCAGGGGGATCTCTGTGATTCAAGGCTAGCCAGGTCTTCAGAGCAAATTTCAGGACAGGCAAAACCCTGTCTCGAAGCTCCCGCCCCCAAAAAAGAAGAAAAGAAAAAAAAGAAAAAGAAAGAATGTGTTGAAGAGATTGTTCAGTGGTTAAGAGCACTGGCTGCTCTTCCAGAGGATCCAGGTTCAATTCCCAGCACCTAAACAGCACCTCATGACTGTTGTAACTCCAGTTCCAGGAGATCTAACACCTTCATACAGATATGTATGCAGGTAAATCAATGCACAGCAGCAGCAGCAGCAGCAGCAGCAGAAGAAGAAGAAGAAGAAGAAGAAGAAGAAGAAGAAGAAGAAGAAGAAGAAGCACCTGCCAGCCCATCACTGCTCACAGCAGCCCCTTCCCCTTCCCTGCATCTCCTGTGAGGTCTTCATGCCCATAGGCTGTCTTTGGTTTATTTATGGACCAGAACAGATGGTCTTTCTGCTGCAACATCATTCCTTTCTTCATTGGGTTTCTTGGTATCTGTAGCCTTCCCCCCGAAGCCTTCTCCCTCCTCATGACATCACAGCGGCCTTTCTTTCTAACTCTCCACAGGCTTCTTGCTTCCAACTTCCTCATGTGTAGCCCTCATCTGATCTGGTTGCCACCTTCACATTCTTCAGCTAGGGTTTCCTGCCTGGCATATGGTGTCCTGTGTATTGACTTTGTGTGTGGACTCAACTTCAGCAGGATTCCCAGGTAGATCAACAGATTCTTATCCTGGACTCCAATGAGGTAAGGAGCTTGGGGAGCTTTTTGCATCTCTGGGCTTTTCAAAGTTCTGCTAAGGCCTGAATCCATTATCTTATGCCTGGGAAGGGTATCGTTACTCTTGAGGGAAGCAGCCTTGGGACATGCCCTGCTGGGGCAAATTTCTTTCTTTCTTTTCTTTCTTTTTTTTTTCTTTTCTTTTTTTTTTTTTTTGCTGGGGCAAATTTCAAATGCTCAGCTCTTTTACACAAATCCAGGAATTACCACTGATGTTTTGGGAGGCCTTGGTGATGCCATTGTCTTTATTACAAATGGCATGGGGCCTCCGTGCTGGACATGATGGTGGCAGGGTCTCATTTTGTCCTTGATAGCAATGAGAGGTAGAACCCTTTTTGTAAAAAAAAGATTTATCTACATATTATGTATACAGTGTTCTGCCTGCCTGCATGCCTGCATGGTAGCAGATTTTATTATAAATGGTTATGAGCCACCATGTAGTTGCTGGGAATTGAACTCAGGACCTCTGAAAGAACAGCCAATGCACTTAACCTCTGAGCCATTTCTCCAGCCCTGGCAGAGCTCTTCTTGATGTCATCTTAAGCAGCAGCACAACCTCCTGGTCTTCTTGCAACCTTCATCTTTAAACACCAAAGGCAGACCAGAAACTTCCTCAGGACAATGACCTGTAGACATGACCAAAGTTGGTGAGTCCCTGGCACTAATGTTGCTTTAGGTTTATATTCACTCTGTGGTGCCAAAGACTGCAAGTTTTATTTAGTGAAAATTTACAGCCTCCCAGACATCTATTTCCAAAGGTACCCTAGCCAGAAGGGTGGGTCCCATCACCTCAGACTTTGGGGATTTGAGTCACAGCTCTGCCAGCCCCCCAAGACTCAGCCCTGGTCTGATGACCTGCTAGTTCACTGATGACATATGGCCGTCAGCTTTATTGTCATTTGTTTTTGAGATGGGTTTTCATATATCTTAGGCTGGCCTCAAAATCACTGTGTATCCAAGGATAATCCTGAATTTATGATCCTCCTACCTCTACCTCTTGAGTGCTGAGATCACAGACATGCACACAGACACAGTTTATCTAGTACTGGAGATCAAATCCTGGGCTTCGCTCATAATAGGCAAAAACTACCAATGGGCCACATCTCCAGCCCAGTGGTGGACAAGCACTTTACCCAGTGGGCTATCTATCCAGGCTACCAGTGGTGAAGTTTTCAAACAGCTCAGCTGTAATTTGTATCCTGTCTCACAATCAGCAGTTGGGAAAGAGGCTGACGAGCGTCAGCAAAACATCCCATGAGCATGCTCCATGCAGAGATGCAGCCCTGGCAGGTTAGTAGGGTGCAGGAAGAGAGACGAGGTCGTAAGGTGCCCTTAGCCTTCTCCAGGAGGGTGCTGAACTAAGATGGCCCTGAAGGCTGGTGTGGGGAGAGGAACATCAGATACTATGGCAGGGACAGCTGTGAACACTGTCAGGACAGGTATGAGTGGACGGTGAAGCCTACCAACAAAAGCTGGACACTGCCCCTGGCAGATGTGTCCCACTGCGCAGGCCCCTCAGCGCCCTGCCTCAGCCTGACATGGGGTCTGAAGAATTAGTAAGCTTGGCAAGACTGCAAATGACTGACTGGCCTCCAGAGTGTTGGGCCATGTGCCAAAAGACTCATTTCCAGTTATGAAAATGTGGGCTCACAGATAAGTCTACACGTGTGTACATCCTTTTACTAGAGTTGTTAGGGCCAGAGGCTGGACCCTGGCAGCCCTAAGGAGCGAGTCTCTATCACTCTTCTGAAATAGGCCAAGGAAACTCACAATAGTGAGAAGCAGAAAAGGAAGATTTATTTACTGCGGCCCCATCAGAACAAGGAGCAGAGGCCCAGTGACTCCCTGCTGTGGTTTCGTTTCTGTTCTTGGGATAAAATACCACAGTGAAGAGCAGTTTAAGGGTTGGCTTCATCTTACAATTCCAGGTCTCAGCCCGTTGTGGCAAGTCAAGATACCAGTCCAAGGCCAAGAGCAGAAAGAAATGGAAACATGCATGCTTATTTGTTTACTGATTTCTGTACTCTTACTCTGTTTGGGACTCCCTGTCTAGGGAATAATGTCACCCATAGTGGGTTGGGTATCCTTTTATCAGCTATCTTAATTAAGACAAGTCCCTATTCACAGACATGCACACAAGCCTATCCAACATAGGGATTGTTATAGACAGTTCTTCACTGAGACTCTTCCTAGGGATTCTAGATTGTGTCAAATCGATAGTTAAAGCTAAAACCACATGCCTCAAATCCATCTTCAGGGTCCTGTTATGAAGTTCGGGTTCAAATAGAAGGCAGCATACATGGCTAAGTGGTCCTGGCCAAGGTGTCTCTCTTCCGATCTCTCATGCAAGATGATCTGAAAAGCTTCCAGAATTATCTGAAATCTCTTGCTGAGAGGCAAGTCTCTCTCTGGGTGGCACCAGGTTTCAGCCTGTCTTCTTCCAGTATGGGATCATTGGGGAAATTCCACATCTGGGACTTCATTGTTCCAGTGGTTTGATAGCCAAAGGTTTTTATTCTTGCCACAGCAGGAACAGCCTGGCTTCTGTTCCATGTCTTCTATAAATCATAACAGTGCCCTAGGCAAGGCAGATGCATATTTGAGCTCTAACCCTCTCTTCATTTCTGGCATGGACAAATCCGTTTTCTCACCTGTATCTGCGTCTGGGCTTTTTGGTAGAGCGGCAACTAGAGCTCCGCTTCATGCTTCATTGTTTATGCCTAGCTTTTTGTTCCACGACACCTGTAGACAATGCAGACTGACCTGCAGAGCAAAGATGCTCTGCACACATCCTTCTAAGGTTTATAAATGTGTCCATTGTCCTTGGAGCCAGCACATCAGTTTCTTCCATATCCTCTCATACAAACACCCGTTCACCAGCTTGAGCTGTGAAATCCCCAGGGGCAAGCTCATCACCAGATGTAGCCCACAAAGAGAAAAACCTCAGCCCAGCTCTAAGTCCACATGCAAGGACCATGCACGAAAGAGGAGGTGAGCCACAGGGTGGTTGAGCTTACGGCTTAATTGGGAAGTTGGCCACACGTGCTGTTCCCACAGGCATGGTGTGTGGTATCAGAAAGGTCAGAGTTGATGTGAGAATCATCCATGGACATGATACAGACCGTGACCTCCCATCTTACATAAACAGGCATCTGGATTGGTCTAGGGAGAAAGAGGACCCCGTGGTTGAAAAGAATTCAGCTAAAGTTCTGGAGTTCTCCACCAGGCTTCTTTCTCGGTGTATGTGTATGTCAGATACATGTATGGTCACAAAACAACTTCAAATGTCATGGCTCAGGCACTGTCCACCTTGTTCTTTGAGGCAGGATCTCTCACTGGAACCTAGGGTTAATTCTGCTAGGTCCCTAAGGATCCTCTTGTCTCTGCCTCCCCAGGACTGGAATTACAGTGTGCCACCATGCCTGGTGCTGGGGATCAAACTAGGGTCCCTATGCCCACAGGGCAGCGCTTTACTGACAGACTTCTGGGGTGTCAAGATCTGTTGTAGGAGGGCTGTTTGTTTGTTCCCAGCTGCTCAGACCCAAAATAGCCACACAGAAACTATATTAGTGCAATATTGTTTGGCCAATAGCTTAAGCATATTTCTGGCTAACTCTTATATCCTAAACTAACCCACTTCCATTAATCTGTGTATTGCCATGAGGCTGTGGCTTATTGGGTAAAGGTGTAAAGTTCTAGCACCTGTCTCTGGTGGGGCTACATGGCTTCTCCTGACTCTGCCTCCTTTCTCCCAGCATTCAGTTTAGTTTTCCCCACCTACCTCTGTTCTGCCCTGCTCTGCTATAGGCTCAAAGCAGTTTCTTTATTAACCAATGGTATTCACAGCATACAGAGGGGAATCCCACATCAGAGGTCTGGAACGGAACATCTGGTAGGCTTCTTCTCCAAGCCGCCTTATTGTGTCTAGTTGTCTTCATTTTAGTCAGTGCAACTCCATCCTTCCAGTTTCTCAGGCCAAACCCTGGGTGTTGTCTTTGTCTCCTCTCCTTCATATCCCGCATTTCCTGCTAGGCCTCTGGTAAGCAAAGCCTATGGTCTTCTCTCTTTAAAATATACTAGCATTGATCTTGTCCCATTACCTCTCCACTGCCATGCCCTAAAACACTTCATCTTTTTCCTAGGTTGTCACCTAAGTTTCCACAGTTGTCTCTCTGTCCCCTCCAACCCTGCAACAGCTCTCGTCTTCCTCAGAGTAAAAACAGAAGTTATCCCACTTACACACAGGGTCCCATGGGTTCTGACACCTATAACCTTCCTTTTAGTCCATTGATTCCAGCCCAATTCCCTGTTGTGAAGCTGCTGGAAGATGCTTGGTGGGGCAAGGTGGGAGGTTTCCTCCTTGGTGCAGGTCAAACTACTGCAGGTGGGAGGCGGGAGCCCCTTCCTTGCCTGACTTAGAGGTGTCATCCCTTATGCCTCTTCTGCTGCTGTGGTGAGCATATGTTCTCATGACCTGAGGCAGAAAGTGTATTCTCATCTGTTGCCCTTGAGAAGAGACTGAGTCTGACTCATGATGGTGGCTCCAATGCCTGTCAGAAAACTGCCTTCTCTATTCACATAGTATATGTGCATGTTCATGTGTGTGCAGGTGCATGTATGTACATATGCATGGTCAGACTCAGGTGCTATTCCCCAGGCACTGTCCACTTTATTTTTGGAGATAGTGTCTTTATCTTTCAATGGTCTGGAGCTTGCCAAGTAGTCTAGGCTGGCCCACTGGTGAGTCCACCTGTCCCCATCTCTCAGGACTTGATTACACACATGCCACCATGGCCAGACCTTTTTCTTTCCACATGGATGTGGAGACTGACCATGCTTACAGCTTTATTGACTGAGCCATTTCCTTAGCCTAGGATCTTTTAAATTAAAGACTCTCTACCCCCACCCGTACCCCCTCAGTGCAAGTAAGTAAGGAAGCCAAGAGGCAGCAGTACTGGCCAGATTGCCTCTTTGGTCTTAGAGATGCCACTTGCAAAATGGTGTTAGAGGAAATATTCATCTCTGAAGACTCTTGGATTTTCTTGGTTAAAATATTTCACAGGAATAACCTCAAGCCAGAATATTTCCAAACATCCTGGAAATTGCTCACTTTCCTGACTCTTTCCTCTGTGTCCAAATAGACACCAGGTTCTGCTTCACCTACCATGACCCCAGACTTTACTTCCTCATTCTACAGGCCCCCTTCTTCCCTTGGTTTCCATGTGGCTTCCGGTGCTTCTTCAACAAGGTGCACCTTCCATGATGAACCAGGCCAACATGGCATTTCCCACAATTCCCACCTGAGTCCTCTTACAGGGCTAAGTGCTTCACCTGACTCTAGCTACCATATTAGTGACCTTCAGCTGCAGGAGAAGTGGCTGGGTAGCAGCATGGTTCTGGAAGAGTAGTCTGGAGGATGCTGGTAGGGAGAGACACTATGGAGCAGAGGCTTGACTGAGGCTTGGGAGGCAGTTGGGTGGGTTACAAGAGGTAGACAGTGCCAGGGGGAGCACTGAGGGTGTGGGAGTGGCCAAGGGAAGAGGGTGGGGTGAAGAAAGAAGAGCAAAAAGAGTGGAATGGTTGAGGAGAGAGATGAGGAGGGAGTAGCGAGAGCAAGAGTGAGAGATTATAA